AGTCGAACCTGGTCGAACTCGAACCGCGGCCGGTTCGCGACACCCCTATTTGGGACCCAGAGGGTCTGCCTGCATGGTCCGCCGCTTGCGGCAGCCAGAATGTATGGGAAAATGGCGGACCTTTTCCTCTAGATTTAGTATACACGTTTGCAAGTCCGGTCTCAGGGCGCCGCCATCTTACTCAGTGGGGTGCGCTCTCGGGAGCGGCCATAATCCGATTACGCCGCCTTAGCAAGGCTTCTTAATCGGATTATGACTGGTCCAAGCGCACCCCAGACAGGCAAGATGGCAGCGCCCTGAAGCCGGACTTGCAAACGTGTATATGATCTCTATGGTAGACCCGGAACGAAATCAGTAGATCTACTGATAAATCAGTAGACCTGGCAACACTGGTTCGTGTGACGTTTATGCAAGCAAGTGGATAAATGGCAGTGGTTGTATACTTCAGAATGGGTGGTAACTTGCGCCACCTAGCCTAGAATTTTATCAACTTGTAGTTTTATCTTTTAACACTTGAGTTTCAAACCCGTTCCAACCCACCTACTACACTCACACTCCATTTCAACGCAACTTGGCGAAGAGCGAAAGCTAAGGCCCCGGGAAGCCAGTCAGAGCGCCAGAGCAAGGCTCGTGACAACGTGCCATCGGCATACACTCCTGTCACGTCCCTCGCTCAACGTATCTGATTGGCTCACAGGAAAGACCTAGGGCAGGGAAAGTAATCGCAGGCCGACTTTTAATGGATCGGGCAAATAAAAATAAAAAGAATGAATGAGACAGCGACATATGATATATGCCATGGAGCACACAAACATCAGTGCACACCAGTCGAAGCCGCATTCCAGGCACTGAAACCACGATGCAGATGTGGCAAAGCCATAAAGTATAAGTTCTGGAATACGTTCCTTGAGGTTGTTTGCTAGAGCCACTGAATGATCCCGGAGCCAGTGCTGCAGCCAGGAATATTCTTTGAAGGGCGGGCATGGGATAACTTTGTGATTTGGGGAAAGGAAACATATACCGTAGAATCCAACCATTTCATACTAAGTGCCCATCCCCAAAATTTGAAACATAAAAAAATAGGCACAGTACATATATAGGGTTGTCCAAGTCACCAGGCTCAATCTAAAATGGACCGTAAAAATCGACGCCTGCACGTAGCAATCTAAACTTTTCGTCAAAGGTGTAATTAACAGGTCGGTTTTTTCTTGTAAAATTACAAAGTGTAGCTTTCTTTCTGTAAAAAATAAGGACAAGGAACTTGCCAGGGGCTACGACGGGCAGCAACACGGGCGACAGGGGTCCAGTAGCGGGGTGTGTTTGGCGTTCATATTGATAGATGGCGCTACCTCCTTATCGTGACCAGAGCCGTATATTGGGAGAGTTTGGCCAGTGCGTGTGGCAACGAAGGCGCCGGAGAGGAGAAAAGTGAATGAAATGGAGGAGAGCGCCGAAGGAGCGAGAGAGAAAGAAGGGAGCAGAGAGGAGACGACCGACATTTTTTAGCAACGCTGTCGAAGACTGGTCGGAGAAGAGCACTGCTGAGGCTACGCGTCGTCTGCTACGGGCCGACTTCTTTTTCGCCTGAATAAAAGTTTGTGGCCATACGCCGCAAAATCTTCATTTAGTAGCTTTTTAACCCACCGAGGAATAACAGAATGTCATTTTCTTGCCAGAGCCAGCGATATAAAAGGCAGTAATCGAGATTTAGATGCCGGTCCCACGCATTTCGCCGGGAGAATGATCGAAGATGGCGGCCCTCCCCACTCAGGTGAGAGCAGCCGGGAGTTCACGCGCATGCACTAATGCCTCTCGCTCTGCGCCGTGTGCTGATTGGCTCACTTGGGAGGAGAGCGTTACGCCGGCGAGATCATAGACTGACCAAACTCACCCAATATACGGCTCTGATCGTGACGGCGCTCGACCACCGTGGTTTATTGAAATTAATATAATCGTATTGAAATGCACCTTTGGTTAAAAAATAAATGCGAACAATAAAAGTAAAACTTAAACTAAAAAAACGCGCCTGGATAACGGCGGCGCTTTTGCTGCCAACAAGTATCGTCTGCGTGTCGTCTGCTATCTTTCGCTGGTCGGCTGCACCTTCAGACGCTGCTCCCGACGCCATCTATGAATACGAACGCCAAACACACCCCACTACTGGACTTCGTTGTCTGGGTCGTAGCCCGCCGTAGACGCTGGCAAGTTTCTTGGCCCTATTTTTTACTAAAAAATAACTACGCTTCGTAATTTTATGAGAAAAACCGACCCATGAAATACAGCAGATGGCTACATGCAGGCACCGTTTTTAGAGCGCAGCTCTTAGGGGCCCGTTCCCGGCTTGAGCGTTGTCGGCGTCGGCGTAACCAAGGTCACGTGACCCCCCAAGGTCACATGACCCCCCCCAGGTCACGTGACCTTGAAGGAGGGGGGTCACGTGACCTCAGGGGGAGGGGTCACGTGACCTCGGGGTGGGGGGGGGGTCACGTCATGTGACCTCCCCGATGACGTCACCGGCATCCGCGTCGTCATCATCATCATCACTGATGACGTCACCAGCATCCTCATCGTCATCATCACTGATGACGTCCCCGGCATCCACATCGTCATCGCCATCATCACTGATGACGTCACCGGCATCCGCATCGTCATCATCACGGATGACGTCATCAGTGACGTCACCGATGGCATCATCGGCATCGTCACGTGACCCCCCCAGGTCACTTGACCCCCCCAGTACCCTTCCCTCCTCCTCCTCAAGAGCTGCGCTCTAATTCGGTGTTACAGGGAGTTGTAAACGGCTTTCACTTTTTTAATGTCCATTTTAGATCGAGCCTGGAGACTTGAACCACCCTATATAGACCTTTCCAAAAAGAGCGCTCTGGCCGCCGCCATTTTGCGAATCGAGCGACCCCTATCAGCCAGAAATTTCTGGCACCCGCCTGAGCTGTGGAAACCCGGTCAGCGTGACTCCCCACCTGCATTTTGCATTCGGAGTTCGCCGGCTTTTCTTGGAAGTTTTTATTTTCTTCGCCTGTTTAGGATGCTTACCCTTTGTATGTTATCTTCCACTGTGAGAACAAGAGAATACCAGGGCTCGTAGCCCGCTCGGCCTTCGCAGGAAACGAACGAAGAGAGCGAACGTCAAGCAGCCCGCGACGCAGGCAGATCGACGTTCCTGGAGGATTATTTCCGTCGAGATAATCTCCAAAAAGCCTTCCGGGCTGTGTTCCGGGTCTTCGCAAAAACTAGCTGATAGGGTCGGGTCCGGGGTGTGGCGACATAATAAGCACGTTCGTTCATTTGCTGTGAAGCTGTGCAAAAAAGGAGCTCTCTTCTACATGTTTCCCAAAACACGGCGGATTCCGTCCGATCGTCGTGAAGTGACTATCGTCGACACTGTATATTGGACATTCTGTGTTATTTGAGAACTTTCTCAAATCCTGTTCGGATAACGCGGCACCGAGGGGTACGTACAATATATTTTTTGTTCGATTGATGAGACTCATGGAATTTTATGTTGTGGGTGGGGAATATCCATGCAGTACGGATATCCTGTGTGGTCAAATATTTTGACCTTTATAGATTGACACGGCTGAGTTTACGGCGCCGTAAAACAATGAACATAAAATGAAACAAACATTCCAGTTGCATTTGTACTGTCGCGCACGGACTCACCAAAACAGCTTTCATTTCTTTCTTTTTTTCCCAAAAATAGAGCACGGCTTTCTTAAAGACCTCTATAAATTATGCTCGCCACAGAATACAAGATAAAAAAGAAAACGCGGCAATTCAGCCGCCACCAGCGTCCGGAATTGCGCCAAAGCAGGCTGCCACAGCCTACTGACGAGAAACTCCACAGCTCAGCGCAGTCGGCCAACACTGACGTACACTCTCAAAACCAGGGACATGCGCTGTAAATCGCTTCGTTCGAGACTGCCGCTGGAAAGGTCTATATGCCAAATTCATGACCTCACATGCACCCATCCCCTATTTGTTTTCGCAATTATCTTCAAATCTTAAGTAAGCACTTGCTCGGTATTTTACGGTAAGCACTGCCTGCCCCTCCAACGAAATGTAAGGATCTGTCAATAAAACCAATGCAGAAGGCCTTTCAACTGAAACAGGTCGCATGTCAACAAAATCAAAGATTAATTTGTCGACAGGCGACGTGTTTGTCGAAAGGATTTCTATGTTCGTTTCATTGACAGACCCGACATTTTATTGATTTTGCAAGGAACTTTTTGCGTCTTGCCTGGTTAACGGGGGAGAGAAAAGGCGGAGGAGACCCAAGGATTGGGTAAACACGCCTGCGAATCAATGATGCACTAAAAAAATTATGTTGTCGATGGAACGTCACATGGTCATGTGTCCACAAAACATCACGTGGTCATGTGTCCACAAAACATAATGTCGACAAAATGTGTTCATGAAACATGCGTCCAAGAAAGTCGTCCATAAAAATGTGTTCTGGACACCCCTGCTTGGAGTGTCGCATTCCATAGCGACCGCCTGACCAGAGTTTCTGCTTGGTATGCTTGGTGGATGTCACTGGCAAGTATATATGCGAGTCATTTATTGGGGGAAATAGAAGCTTACGAAAACCATATACGTCACCAAGGTTTTCAATGTCAAATGCTGGCATATATATTTGCCCACCCTGGCTGAGCCAGGCATTACACACTAGGCTTACAAAAGCCTATGCAGGGAGGCAGCAAGTCGTCTGCTCCTAGCGCAGGAGTTGCAGTGATGTCAGAACGACGCCGAGCTTCGATTGGCTTTGATTGAAAGGATAGTGGTTAGACCTGAATGCTAGATGCCTTAAGATCCACCCACTATTTTTTTTTCTTTTTTCAATCAGCCAATAAGAGCTTGGCAGTATATAGTGGGACAGACCCCACTGAAAATTCCTCTCACAAAAGACAGGAAAAAAAAATGTTCCTCACCTTATAATGTCATCAAAGCCTACCTTGCTATCACCGGAGACACAGACAAATTCGTTTTCATACCAAAGAACTTTATTGGCGATTGATTCCTGTACAAATATCTTACACCGTGGCTTGTTTTGTACAGCAGCAGTATGAAAAAAGACATTTAGATTGAAACTTGCTTGTTTATAGTAGTATCTGCTATGTACAAGTTCGGTAAAAATTTGGGGGGGAAATCCCGTCAGGTAGCGGTGGTACATTGCCAAAGCACAATCAGCTTACTTTGTTGAAAACACCGCAATATTTTGTATTTAGACAATAAAATTGTACCCAGGGTACGCTGCCATGCTTGGACACTTTGGCATCACAACTCTGTCCCTAGTCTATGGTTACAAGCTGCGGTGTATTACAATAAAGGAATATTCACACAGCACTGTCTAAACCTTATTCTGGTGTTGTGCCCTACGACTGATTGGACGCTTGTGCCATTGGATTCTGTGTCACTTTGTCGAAAACTGCGACATTCTGCTCAGAGTGTCAGGCACAAGGAATCTAAAAGATGAAAAATAAAAGGAACATACTGCCAAAACTTTGACTTGTGCATTCTTGAGCAAGCCAGAAGCCAAACGGATTTGAGGCAACGATTTGACTATGCTAGTGAAATCGACGACAAAAGAATAAAACCAAGTGTGGCTGTAGAGTTTGTCAGTACCCAAATAACAAATAAAATTGACCTTCGGTCGAAAGCCAGATTTTGAAGCTGTTGCAGCAAGGAAGCACCCTTGAGCTAAAATACCGAGACCTCTACTATCACATCCTGTGATCTGTAGCGAATCGATCAGAGTGAAAAATGCAGGCTAGAAATGACCCTTCTGTCATTACAGCGCTGGACACTTCAGATAACCGTCTTGACTGGCACTAGATGAGCTTTCCTTTCGCGTAGTCTCAGGTTTCATCATAAAGGTGTCGCAAGTATGGTAAGTACCGAGAAGTTGGCCGTCAATATACGTCCTTGCATCCCGTCTGTTACAAGGTGAATTTTTCTTCACTTTGAAGAGCGTTAAAAATTGTTGCAACTGTCATTGCAAAGTCGGGCTGTTTCACATCGCTTCCTGTTGCAGTCGCGTCAAACGGTTGCTACTGCGTGGCCGCAAACTACACAGTCGATGAAAAGCCCTAACACCTGTCATCTGGGTTAATTGGTCTAGAACTCCTCACAAACGCTGCTGCCAAAAAACTGGCTGCATCCGAAATGCTACAACTGCGTCGCCACGAAAAAAAGCTTAATCGCTGACTTCAGTTAAGGGACCTACGACTACTTTACAAAGCTCGAGCTGCGCTCTCTCTGTTCGACGAACGCCGCTCACAGAAAATAAAGCTCCTCACAAAATCTCGCGGCAGTATGAACTGCCAGCACGTGCTAAAACCTCCGAAACGAAGCACGGCATTTTGTAATAAAAAGAATGTCCCGTCCGTGCACATTCCCACGTTGACGAGCAAAGGATCACTCGAGACACTCTCGCGAAAAGGGTAGTCCGTCGGCAGTGTTGGTGGAACATGTCGGGCTTTCTTCAGGGAATGGGGAACTGCAGGGGGGCGTCTTGGGGTGAGAAGGGCTCGCCGGGCGCGCTGACATTTCCCGGCGCCGAGGACTCTTCGGAGAGCATCGAGGTGGTGGTGGTGAGCCCGCGCAGCGAGTGCCGGCGCTGATGCTCCCTCCGCATGGCAGCTTCCTTGTCCCAAAGCTTGCATTTGACACGGTAGAACCGCGTGCCGGCAGGTACCCGGTACCGGTTCTGCGACTGCGGTACAACGTTACGTCTTTAGAGCAGCAGTCGCCGAGCGGTTGCTGTTTGCCGGCATCACAGCGCAACAACTACGGGGTCATCTTGCACCAAACTAAAACTTAAACTTCAAGCTGCTGTGGCTAACGTGTTACAAAACACAAAAATCTGGTGCATAAAGCCGGTGCTGGTAATGAAAGCCAAGATGCGGTCAAATGAAATGAGGGTATTCTCCTAGTAAAAGAGCAGGATGGAATGGGATTTCGGGAGCGTAAAAATTTGGGAAAATTAATACGACATTTGTTAAAACCTGAAGGGACCCATAGAATACATAGAAGGATAAGAACATCTCCACAGTCCTCACAAACCGGTGGGTCGTTCCCATAAAGAAGATACTTGTGCGAGACATAAAAGTGGCCAATGCGAAGACGACATAACAATGCTTCAGGATATTGGCCCTTGTGCGAAGAGACCTCCCAGAGCCTTAGGACTGGCTTTTTGTCTTTTTGTAATATGAAGTTTATTATCACACTCCACGTTCCACTCTGACTGCCATAAACAAACAAGTGGTGACTTTATTAGAGGCTTGAAATCTTGGTACAGCAAACAGGCAGATGGAAGAAGATTAGTCGAGGATGTAGTGAGTGTTTTCTTCCTCATTAACTTTTATTCTCATATGACTAGGAGCTCAACAAAATTTCATATTAAGGTCTTTGTACATAGCTTTATTAACCTCTCAGTTGTTGTACAATCATATTCTTCCTTAATTTCACAGAGCATATTGCAATAATAACACTCTGAGAGTCTACAAGTAAAACAGCAGCAGTTGCTGAGTGGTTGTGCTGGCAATCGCTAGCAACCTATTCGCATGTCTTTCGTCAACTGAATTAACAACTTCTTTTGCAACAAAAAAACTCAAAAATGAGTTAAGTGGGGACACTGGCTAGAGATTGAACTTTTGAACTACTCAAGTGATTGAAATAAAATTTGCAGGGGAGATCTAACTTCAGATGTAGGTGTACTGTGCAAACTTTCAGCTCTCTAGGACAACTTTACATACCTGCATAAGAAGATGTGTCCCTCTTCGTTTAGAAATCTATGATATGCAAATGAAGCTATTAAGCACCATTTGAACTGCTCGAATATAAAGTGGGGGATGTGGGATTTCGGGCTGTTTAGTTTTTATAACCTAAATATAAATATTTCAGAAAGAGTGATTACCTCAAGATATCACATGCATATCTGTCCTACGTCAATTTTTGAAAACATAGTTTTTTCTCAATGAGAACTTTAATGTAAAACAAAATAAAATAGATAGCCCAATTCCCCAGAAAATTTCAATTCAGAAACACCTTGATAGTGGTATCAGAATAATTTTACTTTCAAACAAAAGATTCCTTCGTATGAAATTTGCAGCAAAAAGTGGAACTAAGAAAAATGCATTCAAACATTGAACTCCTTTACTTTGTTACTGCCTCACAATGTGTTGAAAATATTTTATGTCAATGTAACTATTTAGCACATGGTTATGAAATTTGGTGTAAGGGTGTATAATTAGTTTCTAAAACCAAAAACCTCAAAATTGAAAAATGAATTTTTCCAAAAAATTTTGAAACTTAGGCTTATGTCCCCACTTAAAGAAACAGACTGCCATTAACCTCTGCAGGGCACTAGGTTGATGACAGCCAGTAAGACCACTTGGTGGCACTTGTTTGGGAATGCCCATTTGCTCCGAGTACCATATAGGTTAGTTTACCCTTAAATGCACCAGAGGAACTGAAGAATATGGCAGTTTCAAACGACTCTTCCAACAGTGACAAGAAGCCAGTCCAATCATTTAGTAGTAATCAGGTGGTATAACATGCATTTTTTGACACAAGATGAACGACTGAGAAAGCATACGAGGTTTAGGCTCCTTTGACAAAGAGCGAAGCAAAGCACCATACGCCTAAGCATGAGAATAAGAACACTACCAGGGCAGTCTTTTTTTTTTATGAGCCTGTTTTCAAATGCTCAGAGACTACCAGACTATCTTTGCAGAAGATTGAAGTTTTCGACTCATTATCAACGGTTAGTTTCACGAACAGCAGCTGACATTTGATGATAGGAAGAAATGCCAGTCCGTTCCAAACTCCCTCCCAATGGCTTAGACCAGGGGTACCAAACACACGGCCCGCAGCCGCATGCGTCCCGCGACTCTGCGTGATGCCGCCCACAAACATCCCGCGGCTGCGAGCTCTACATGCGCCATAAATAGTAGTTTTATATAGTTTATTCATTTCAGCTCGAAAGGAGCTCTGCTCATATAACGTGTTCATACATTTTGCACCATTTTGTTTTTTTTGAAAGGGCTGAGTACTGCTTTGTCTGAGTATTTGCTTCTGAGCCCTTTCTTATGTAAATGAATCGCAACGGCAATACCCCTAGGCTGCAAGTGTGAGCTCTTTGCTCAAAAGCCCCCACGGCTGCACAAACTCGCTCAGCTGGAGCAACTGCCAAAAATAAAGCTATGAGCTCGGGCTTAAAATACAGGTATTTTCTCATAATGTTGCTATAAAAATCGCCGAGAAAGCAAGAACTGTTGTATGAAGAGATATTGTTTACGCCTGTTGAGCCATGGTGCGACAGGGCAAGGAAGTTGTGCTTGCTTCATTCTACTGAAAACTGCCACTACATTGATGTTTTTAATTTTATAACATCAGGGTGGGTCCAAAGTAGTCGTATATGTAAATGAAAGCTAGAGGCAAACCGGTGAGCTTACAAAAAGCAGAAAGCCCAAGGCTCCCCTAGAAAATCACTAGGGTTTCGCTGGGAGAGTCACCTGCTTTGCAATGCGACACACCACTGCTGGTTGCTTATTTTTTAGAGCACAGCTTTTAGGCGCCCGTTTACCGCTCGAGCGGCGTTGCCGTCGCCGTAATTGCACATCGCATTATGGGATGTTTCCCATAATGACGTCACATGTGGCGTCACAAAGGTCAGTCATGAAGGTCACAACAAAGGTCCCAATATGCACAGTGAAGGTCATGTGAAGGTCATGACCTTCACGTGACCTTCACTTGTGAAGGTCACGGCTTTCATGAGTGATGTCACGAGAGGGGGAGAATGAGGAGGATGAAGGGGAGAAGGAGGAGGGGGGAGGAGGAGAGGGTAGAAGGGAGGTGGAGGGGCATATTTTCCCCTCCTCCTTTCTCAGGAGCTGCACTCTCATTAGGCATTACAGGGATATCGTAAACGTCTCACTTTTTTGTCCCAAAATAACAAAATATCCCCCCCCCCCCCTCCCGAGTTGGCCCTCGACCTTTCGGGGGTAAGCTATCTGGCGCTTACACTCGAATGAGTTTGAGACCATTGGCTTAGACTGATGCATCCCAATGACTTAGCCACATTTAAAATTCAGTAGAAGTATGCAGGTCTCACCTTGCGTGCCTGGCAGTATTCTTTCTCCAACACTTCAGCCAGAACCCAGCCCTTGCGGATGGACCCAGGAGCTGCGCACAAGGAAAGCAGAACAAACTATGAAGAAACATTCAGCCTTGAGTAACGGCCAGAGTGCAGAGAAGCAAAAAGGTTCCAAAACTAAGCCAGTGTAGACCTCGCTTTGGATTTGTCCCATTTCAAAATGAAACAAGAAGATGAACTGCGTTACTTCTAGGGCGTGCAGGGTGTCTGAATCGACGCAAGTGTGCCGAATGACCCTGAAAAAAAACTTCTCCATATTTATTTTTTCACCGCAAAATTAAACTACGCATTTCCGAACACTCATTCTCCACCCAAATAAAGTGCTAGCAATCCGGACCAGACACTGAAGTTTCAGAGCTTTCCGTTATCTGACGAAAAAAACATTCAGCATTTCCACTCTGGTGAAGATGGAAGACCAGCGAAGCTGTGCTGTGGTGGGACTGAAGTATTTATAAAAAATGTTCAGCTGCCGTGGCGTCCTGTCATCGCCGGGCCTCGTGCTTGCGCTTGGCTTCCGTGGCACAATCGTCGTCTGTGGCAATGTGACCAGCGCCGGCCCGCCGGCGCCGGTTACATCGCCGCTTCTATTCTCGGCGGCGTTCCAGGCGAGCGATCTGCTCTTCGTTTGCAAAAGATTCGGAACCACTCGACATAGTGGAACTCGAGGCGATAGCGGCTTTGCGGCGTTTGTGCGGCTACTCGCACTGCTGCGCACGTCGCCCGCTCCTTGTGCTCTCGCTCTTCTTCCTCCGAACGAATGGCACGCGGCCAACCCATCGTGAGTCCAAAGGGCTCACGATGATAAGAGCACTAGCCCTATCTCAACGTCACAAGACACAGGACACACACGATAGGTAGGTGAGACGATGACGTAGGGTGACGATGAACTGGCTCGAGTTTTGTGTCAACACACCGCTTGCCCGCGGACGCGATAGTGGGGGAACTAGCACTTAACAGCTTTGCTGTAAAAATTACAAGTCAGTTTGAAAAATTTTTAATGAGAAAATGGAGCAAATTCCCGATAACTGATGTAATTCGTCTCCCAGTATTCAAGGGCTTCATTGGCAGCCATTTTCTTATGGAAAATTTCCGAAAATCGCTTATAACTTTTTAATCGGATAACGGCAAGATCTGAAACCCCGGCATCTAGCCTGGACCACCAGCTCTCCACTTGGGCACAGAATGAGCGTCTAGCAAAGCATTGTTCATTAAAAAAAAAAATGTATTCAGAAGACAATTGGTACATTTGGGCCAATTTTATTTTTGTGAGGGGGATTGACTTCCGGGTGTGTTAAAGGCACCGCGGATCGGAGTGCACAGAGCGGAAGCTCGCACCGCAGATTCCAAGGGTCCTGGGTTCAATCCCCACTCCTGCCCGTTTCAACCTGAATAAACATAGTACCGGCGTGCGGTCGTGTACGACTATTCCATGATGCATGTTAAAGGACCCACGCATCTAGTGGTGCTGCACTGGCTAAATTTCTCATCTGCAACTGAGACACGAGACGCCCAATGAGGCTGACTAACTTCCGGCTGTCTCTAAACATACACACAACACACTTATTTATATAATAAAAATAACACAAAAACTATTCAGCGACGCATAGTTTATTTTTGCAATGAAATAACCCCGTAAACTTTTTTTTTTTTTTTTTTGTGGACACCCTGTACATTACCGCACACCGCAACTCTCTGAGGAACAATGTGGGATGCTCACTGGCACCTTCAGGGATTCTTAGAAAAATTACCGTTTGTCGGAAGGTCTGGCCTTTCGGTTCCTACACAATTGGCTCAATCGAGCCGCAATGACACTATCTGGTTTCTCACCCGTCTGCAGGCCCAACGTCTCGAGGCAGTCCGTGTGAAGGAAATGCAACACAGGTCCAAGCACGAAGAGCACATAGTTCTGGTGGCCCTCGTCAAAGCAGAGCAAGACCACGTCCCCGGCACTGCATCTGGAAAAATTGAGAACCGCCACGACGAGTTGAATCGTTCGCCGTTTCCGTTTAATGGGATTCACTTCAGTCTATCTACATGGAGATGTGGGTAGGGGAGCGTTTAGTATAGTTTAGTGTGAGACAAAGAAAAGTTGTAAGATATGCAGTGGCTGACATGTATAATCTTTCTGGTCTTGAGGTGTTCGAACAAAGAGAAGTTGTGTTCTAGTATATCCAGAACTGAAGTTGGGAGTATAAAAGACGCGGCACTGCAGGCCTCCGTGGTGTGGGCCATTGTCTTTCTCTGGTGCTGTGGTTCTTGTAGGCCAACAAAAAATGATTATCTTTCTCATTAAAAGGCAATACACTAGGAAATAATAAAGTACAATAGCTGCTTAAAAAAATTATCTGCCAAAATAGAGCTCTACAATAAAAACAACTTCATTTTCTTTAATAATAAAAAAAAGGAAAGACTAATTTTAAGCATTTTTAATGCTTGCAATGATGATATTCATGGCTCTAAAGGTTTTTCTTGCCACAAATGCGTGCAACACAAATAACATTGGCAGAATGACACTCATATAATAGTTACTTTCATCTTTGCTTGAAAATGTAAAAAACAAAAACAAAAAACCTTAACATAGTTTTGAGAGGCTTAATACTATGAATATAGATAACATAGCTTCGAGAGGCTACTACCCCCGTCAGACGGGCCAATTTAGTGCACTTCAACCAAGAACACTTTGCCTTTAGTGTCATTTCTGTAGTGTGCTACACGGCTTTTTTCCGAAGAACACACTTGGCTTCAAGCGAGTTTGACGAACTCGCTTCACTCGATCGAGTGCGTGGCCCCGGGACACAGAAACCAAAAACGTGGAGTAAATTTTATTTTTTAAAAGGATTAGAAATTTGCAAAAGAGAGGACAGAAACTAGTGTCATTGCAAACAAAAAATAGTGGTGTGGACTTAGCCTCAAAGCTTAGGTTGACTTGTACCGAGACAAGCGCCGCGTTGAATTGATAGAAGACTATGGCAAAGTCAGTCATGCCAATGCTACCTCGGTTTGCAGAGGAGAATAGAGCCTACATTCGTTTCAGCATGTCGCTGTACGAGACAACACAATGATCATGATCTAATAAGGCAGGGTCAGGGCCTCCTCGTAGACCACCGTGGGACGAAGTGAAACGCCAAGGTTTGATCTTCTTCTTTATCTTGGCTTGCAATGATCGATCAGAATCATTCAATTGGCATAAAGAGCATTCATTGATGTAACATTGTTTTTTAGCGTGCCTTTATTAAAAAGACAAAATGTTGCGAGACATTTATGCCCTTACGTTAACATGTTATGTATCTAAAAGTATCTTAACCATCGTTATTGGCATCGTTTGCGAGTAACCCTAATTTTTCCCGTGTAACACCGAAACACTTGAAATGACGTTCGGTAAGCTGAAGTGCACTAAATTAGCTCGTCTGACAGGGGTATAACATAGACTTAATGCACTGAACCATCAAACCCTCCCCTCCCCCCCCCCGCTTTTCCGAGACTTGTCAAGTAAAAGATGTACTCACGTGAGGACGGACACCTTGTCTGTCGGCAGACTAAGAGGCTGGGTGCCAAAGGTATCCGACATGGCCATCTGCGATAGGCAAAGGACAACCATGGTCAGTGAAGCGGTGACCCTTAACTCTGCCCACCACTTCCGCGCGCGGACCCTCTCTCCACCAGATCGCGACCAGACATGGCACGACTTACACCTACGTGTATTGCTATGCTAAAGAATAAACCTACGCAGTTCAATCAATCTTATCTCGACCACGACAGCCACCTTGAACCTTTTTCGTGAAAAAATTTTAGGTTATGCTGCCGGGACTCTACCCAATCCTTTTTTCGTTGCAGCGTGACATATTGCAAGGCAAAACCGAACAAGGTCAAACCGAAACCAGGTTCCCAACGCAGAACACTCTGACGTGAAATCGCGTAAGAGTAGCCGGGAGCCATTTTCTGTGACCACTCACCATTTTCTGCTGTAGTCGAGAAACCTCCTGCTCTTTGCACATCAGTTGCTGTGTGCCATGAAAGAAAAAGAAAGAAGAAAAATAAGGGTGGCATTTCTTGGTGCGACCAATTTTGTCATTGCCTTGTCAGCTTGTGTCACTCTATCTCCACTGGAAAGGTTGTCCAAACTTTTTAAAAAAACGAACAGGAAGACCCTCACATTTCTGAGATCCCGGAATGGGTCTGCCTGCTGTGGCAGTCGAACCGTAGATTCCCTGCGAAAAAAGTGCGGAAGAAAAAAATTGGCTGCCTGTTTGGTCATTCTGCTAAAAACATTTAAGGGAATCTTCTTTTTTTTATTACTAAACCCGATAAAACTGCCCAAGCCTATTCAGTTATTAGAGCTGATATCAAATATCTGGGCATTTTCTCAGTCAGTAGATTAGCCCTCAAGATAATTAGAACCCACCTGTCTTTGGAGGAACAATAAAGAGAAAACTGCTCAACAAAATATTCTGTCTAACACGTGGCTAGATACTATGAAGTGTAAAACATACAATGCTGGGAGTACTTTTAAGGTCAAACCATTATTAGTGATCTTACCGCACATTTAATTTCAGTGATCAATGTGTGGCTGCCAAGTAATAAGTACAAAAGTCACCTAAAAATTTTTTTAAACCTATATTGAAAAATCTGCTTGCAACAGCCAGAAGAACACTATCTGTAGATTTCAAAATTGCCTTTTTCCAAAAGATTAATGTTTTAGGGATTTTTCGGCACCAAAGACCCATGTCCCCTCTTAAATGCAGCAGCTTTATAGGGTGGGTGGTGCTCTTAGTTCGGGTAATGCCTAGGGCAGAATGACCCTTAGTCTTTCAATGCCAAGGGTGGGTGGTCCTTAGTTCAGGTGTTGCCTGGGGCAGGGTTTTGTTTGTAAATGGATTACATCACACCATTGTACCCTCGTGACGCTGTGCGCGCTTCTCTTCAGCACCACCCCGATACAAAGCCTTTGTGCTGAATTTTCTGGGTCAGCAGGAGAGGGGAAGTGCACTTTCCTGCTCTTTCTACTCCTTGTTCTGCACTCTTTTTACACCACCTGTTTCTGCTCTTCTCTTTCTCGCCCTTCCCCCCCTCTCCACTCCATGCACTTTCTCACACCACCTGCCTCTGCTCCTCCCGTTCCTGCCTGGGTCCGCAACTCAGTCAGCACCACATGCAAATCCCACGCCAGAGACCGCAATCTAATCCCTGGCACCGGTTGGCATTTTGTTTCAAAAGCGTTTAGCGGTTACTGACTGACCGGCCTACACATTTCGTGCATATTTCGTGCTTATGCGGCCTCTGAGGTTGGCTGGCCCTATAAAGCTACCACTTTAAAAATGTTTTGTTTCCCGCAAAAAGTCAGCGAACTCACTACAGGCAGACGCTCATAACAAACAAACACAGGCATAAAAGCTGAAGCTCCGACAGTACTGTGGGCCAGATCAAATACCCTTACAACTACATACGAGAAACATTTGCTTTGCGAAGGATGCAGCAACTGGCAAAACGTGGTCCGACAACTGGAGTGCATAAGGACTGGCTTGCTAGAACTGTCTCAGTTAAGACCACATAAAAAAGAAAGCACTGCCAAGGCACTGCAGAGCGACACATGAAGTTGAGTCCCGAGAGGTAGAGTGCTCCAGGCTTGGAAGGCTTTCTTTCTCACAGCCTTAGCTAAGACGGTGTTTCTAAAGTCACTGATGGGGTGAGGTTCTGATTGCCCAGCCTCCAGAATGTGCTTGTTGTCTTTTGCCGTGCAATGGCTGCACATGCTTGCCTGAGGATCATGAGACAGCCCAAGCATTTACAAAGGTAAGAGCTCGTGCTAAAGGCGGCACAACTAAAACCGTTCCCCGTTATTCCTTCACTGTCGGTAACTATGGCAAGTCAGCCCAGGTCTAGACTGAACATTAAGAGACAGCCACGGAAAAACTCACATCATGCTTGCTCCATTGGGATCGTCGGCCTGAGAGCACGGGACGCCGAGCCTAGGGACAAAGAAGACGCGGCGTTTTCGATTTTGTTTCAATCGCTCCAAACAAAAACTCCGCTTCCCAGTTTGGAAAGGGGCAGATTCACTCACTGCATCTGCGAGACAAGCTCGGTGGACGGGTTGTTGTCCTCCTGATCCAGGGATTTGGCTGTCCCTCCCAAGCCTGCACGGAGGATGTGCGCGTTTCGGGGGATTAACGAAATATATTAGCAAATATCGGAAACATATTAATGAAGGATAAGTGCCGCGTGTGCTTATTGAGGTGAGAATGAAGGAATCCCCAAGATGCCGCATATACCTGCATAATTATTTACCTGTCTTTCCAAAGAAACTGAGGCTACTTTTGGGATTGCAACAGTTGTGGAGGACAAAAGATTTCTTAGATAAACGGTTGCGATTGTGGTAGCTGTGTATTTGATGCACACGAGCAGGAAGAGGCCAGTTCGATGCCGCTTCTTTTTTTCTGCCACGCTCGCAGCCCAAAAGCAAGACAAAACTTCCCGTGCCAATGCAAGTTCCAAGCTGCGAACGAGCCCTCAGCAATTTCCTTGCCCTTTGTCCGCCCCACATTCTTTCCTGAAGCACGATAAATTCAGTGTTCGGGGCTCTTTCAGGCCCGCTGCCAGAAGAACTGGACCTGACAAAGTCCCCAATGAGACGTCACCTTTGTTCTCCTCCAGCAGCCTCGTCAACTTGTCACAACGGCCTTGGATCCTGGACAGTTCTTCGTCTTTGTCATGGATGGCTCGACTGATCGCCTCTTCCAGAAGCCTCTGAAAAGTGAGAAGGAAAATGGTTGGGGCTACAATTCTTTTCAATACAACTTAAAAGAAACTAGTCTGCCTTCTTCCCATCATGCCACTTGACCAGGTACTTTGGTTTACATACACTTTATCTTGAAATCTTATTCAACCTCAAATACAAATCCTTGATGCGACTGTTTTTTCTGCCTAACACGCACATTAAGGTTGCAACCGTTTGCGACTGCCTACGACGATTTTCGCATAATTCTTGAAACCACAGGCTTGAAATAATTCTTGCAATGTTACGAAGAGCCACTTCTCACATATAAGTGCGTAAGTATGATCTCGTAAATACTGTAAAGCTTTGAGTCTAGTTATATACAGTTCCAGGATGTGTGTTCTCTCATCATAAGCAGCCACGAGTAGTTGCAATGAACTCGGTCACATTCGAAGACAAATGAGTAAACCAGCAGTTATGTATTGCCATGTGCAGCAAATTCAGAAGTTTGTGATGGAAATTAGAATTAAAGTTTATTTGTATTTTCACGGGCCAAGCCTGGTGGGTAGGTAGAGACAACGGGCATTTCTGCCGCACTAAGGCCTCCACTCCCTGTAGTTTGCAGCCAGTGCACACAATCATAGAAAACAACAACAGATACACACAGAGAAAGAAAAGATTGCAGGGCTAATGGCCCTGAAATTGTGTTGCTATGTGAAACATTCTTGTTTTAGCATTCTTGGTGTGGGTTTAGTTCTTGGTTTGCCTCCAGGAGTTGCCACTCCTCTCCACCCCATTGACTTTTTCCATTGGGTCGGCCTGTGTCCACAGACTACGAAGAATGGCGGGCTGCGACCGGTCACGTTCCAATTTTCCTGCTAAATTTAGTGGGTGAACTGAATTCATTGTAGGTCACATGACGTCAATTTTTCCGCTAAATTTAATGGAGGAACTGAATTTGTGTGTAGGTCACGTAACATCAAGTCATGGGACATCATTTCCCCGCTAAATTCAGCGGAAAAACTGCACTGACGTTGAGGTCACGCGACGTCAATTTCCCTTGTAAATCTATCGGTGAAACTGGTCATGCGATGTCACAGGCCATGGCTTCACGAAATGCGGCTTCATGCAATCTGGAGCAGCTAGCCAAAGAATGTTTCACGTTAGAAAGAAAACTTGGGAGAAAGTGCTTCAAGAGAGATGACTCACACAATGCACTGCTTCCATGTTGGCCTTCATAAAGGAGATTTGTTCTTCGTATTTTCTACACAGGGACTTCAGCTCGCTTGCGTGCCCGTCCGCGTCGCTTGAGGATGCGTCTACAATGTCCTCGATGGTGTCCTTCTCCTGCGTGAAACGGGCGGGAGGCATTTGGTAAATTAGGGCGGAGATTTCCTCAAACCCAGATTCTAGAAACTGGAAGGCTCTCACGATACTCTAAAAAAAAAAAGCCTCAAGTCCCAAATTTCCATTCTTCCCCTAAAAATATAGACTTTTTTCAGCTTATACCGACTCAAAATGACCTTTTAATGATCACCATGATTGTCCCCGTTTCACGTGCGATGCTGAAAAGGAAACGTCAAGGCCGCCACAGTGGCGGTACTACCGTTCTGCCCTCAGGCGAGATGTCTCAAGACCACTCTAAGTGCACAACACAGATAGCTCCATAACCCTTGAAACTTTAAGCACGGCGGTGACTGAGCTTGCCTTCGACTGAGATTCCTCCCATTCGCGCTGCATCTTCAGCCTGCCGTCCTCGATCGCCTTCTGGATGGCCTCTTCGCGGCATCGCTGAAGCCTGCAAAAAGCAAGAATGTCGGTTCTTTTTGCTCTTTTGTTTAGCTCCCAGAACAAAGGACATGAAGTGGGTCAAATGGCGCAGGGTAGCATAATTCAAAACTCGGCTCACGAAACAGACCCGTGCAAAGTATGTCAGTAATTGATTGATTTTGACCGAGCATATGCTGAACATGGCGATATTAACCCCGAGACTGGGTCATTAAAAGAGTAACAACAAAAGAAGCGGACAGCACTGAAGTCTGAGACATACCTAAATGTTGACTGCAGCAGGATGGTGTATATACACATGTAGAAAGAAAAGGACCCAAACCATGTGATTCAAACCCTCTTAAAACCACACCAATTCACAAACCACAAACGGTCATCACAAAACAGTCCTTTGAAATATCCAAACCCACTGTGTAAAAAAAAAAGTTCATACCACAGAGACAATATTACCAAGCATAAAGACACGCTGATCCAGAGTCCAACCAGAACTATAAAGCACACCTAAGCAAAATGGTCGCAAACAGCTAAAGGCAACCAAAAGCCCCTAACTTGGATCAGTGGATGAATGAGAGGAAGGACACCGTAGTAAAGTGACATCTCATTACTACGGACACGCCCGTTCCACCCAAAAAAGTACCCATAATGTGAGTGGTCCTTAGTAACGGAAAAAAAGTGTGTATTTTAATTTACCCAGTTCGCCCCTGAAAATGTTGTCTATGTAGCTAGGTATTCACATTAACATGACGTAACCACACCGTAACTCTGCTCGTGCATAGCAGAACACTCTTCATCCCTACGTAGCAGAAAGCTAACAATGCAGCTCATCTCTTTGTCGCGGCATTGTGAGACATTTAGTGCAACGGTCTCTCGACCCACCTGTCAATCTCCTGCTGGTGGAGTTTGGCCAGCTCGTCCCTGAGATCCTGCTCCCGCTTGGCAAACTCCTGCTGGCACTGGGCCAGGAGCTCCTCTTTGTCCAGGATGTAGTGGGCGTTCAGCTGGTTCTCCAGCCCCTGGTGCTCCACAAACAGCATCTGGATCTGACGGTCCCTCTCGCAGATGCACTGCAGAGCAGCGCTGCATCAGTCCCCCCCCAGCTCAACCCGCACCCATGCAAACTTGCTGATATCTAATTAAAAAGGTTGGGGGGGGGGGGGGGGGGGGTTGTAGACATAGATTCACATAGATCCACCCAAACCCTGATCCGAGACCAAATGTTTCGAGGTTTTCTCAGCCTCTTCTTCAGGGGTGACTGCGGCAATGGCCATTGAGACTGCTCCTCAACAGCCACCGCCACAGTCACCCTCGAAGAAGAGGCCGAGCAGGCCCTGAAACGCTGGGTTCCTAATTGGGGCTTGGTTGAATGTTCCCTAACATTTAATTAGTCTTGCCCTACCCAGACAGATGTTCACATTTGCTGATATCTGTGTTACCTTTTAAGAAGAACACTTTTAGGTGCTGGTTTTCAAGTCTACAGTGTCACAAAACGTTGCCACGAAAATGAGATGACACGGCTAGTCACGACCAGTCACGCGGTCTAAATTTAAAGGAACAACTCGACAGAAGGATGTCACAATATCATGTGACGCAGTGTCCCATCACCTGAAACTCCGTCACATGACGCAATGTCATGTGAGACTGTCTTGCAAAACAAGGTGTAAAAGCCGATGTTGCCATCTTTTTTTTCGTATCCTGAACTTCAATCCAATGTTGGAGTATGTTTGTCGGACGTGAGCACAAAGTAACCCCCCTAAAAGTTCTTTAATTTCTTGTGTGTCAAAATTGGCACCCTTTTGGATCACGCTATCAGATGCGCGTTTCAAGTTCAAACCTCAGCTGGCGATCCTGGACTATTTCGAGCAATAAAAGTGAGTTTCAACTAAACTTTTTCCACCCCCTTTTTTTTTTTTTAAATCAAGCTTTGAATAATTTAGTCTAATTTCGAGGTTTTTTTGAGGTCAAATGAATGCCAGCGTACTGCCCCATGTTTATTTAAACTTTTTTTGAAGTCGTAGTGCTTGAATATTAACAATTTAATTGCAGTAAATTCCTCGAGAGGAACCCACATTTACCGTATTTACACGATTGTAAGTAGGGATGTCGCGAACCACCCTAGGTTCGATTTTGAAACGTTTCGATATTTGCGAAGCGAACTGAGGTTCGATTTCGAAACATTTCGATATTTTCGTACCGACCGAGGTTCGATATCGAAAAATTCGCAACTTTTGACCACAGCGGAGTTTCGAATTCGAAAATTTCGAAGCTTTCACGGTTTCCAAAATTTCGAATTCGAATATTTCGAATATTTTTTTACCTCAGGTTCGATAAATTCGAAGATCTCTAAATTCTTTGTAAAAAAAATTCGAAAACTTCGAACGCTTCGAATTTTTATAGACATGAAGTTCGAACAATTCGAAGATGTCAAATTTTTTTTTGCATAAAGTTCGAAAAGTTCGAAGGTTTCGATTCTCTTTTAACGCTAAATTAAAAAAAAAATTTCGAAGATTTTGAATTTCTTTCTAATCCAAGTTTTCAAAGTTCGAAGTCCGATTTTCAAGTTTTTCCACAGTTTCAGTTTCAAATAACGTTTTCACGACTCACTGGTTTTCACGAAATCAAGTTTAGAAAACTTAGGGTGTGATATCTAGATTCTGCGAAGTTGGTCAGGCAATTAAATGAGACGACGAGTGTCCCGGATGGTGCTGGAATATTTGGCAGTGCAGAATTGTGACCGCCAGCCCCGGGGGGGGGGTCTTTAACCTGCATCCCGCAGTAGTGATTGCACGAACACACTGTTTTACGAGACTCTTCCACTTCGAAACGGCCAGGGGCGAACAGGAGGTTGAGGCTCAAAAAAACCTTGAAGCGACCTGGCAAACTACCTCGCCACCCCTTGCACGCTGGTAGTAATCCGATCCGGTAAAGTTTATAATTGTCCTGGAGGTTTATTTTCTGGGACGGAGGAATCGCCTCGCAAAAAGCACAAAAGTTGACACAACTCGAGGTCGAGGAGCGTTCTACCATACAAGTGGCGTCGGAAGAGGAAAAACGGGGGGAAAGAGGGTAGCGGGGGGGGGGGGGGGGGGGCTTCAGCCTCCTTCTCCCCCTTGCAGGTATTTCGAATTGTTAAAGAAAACAATACGGGGAAAGAGGGCGTGGTCGAGCTTATTTTAATCTGAAATTATTTATGCATATGTATAGCTACTGTCGCTCTTCACTGCATAAAAGATCGCGTAGATGGTCATTGTTAGAAACTCGTTGTCAGAAGGCACTGCTCGTCACATGCTTAGTGGTTCGGAAGTTCAAAGCTGTCTTTTCGACCTAAACACCTGTGCCGATAGTAACAAAAAAACAAAAAAATAAATGCGGGAATAAAAAGCAGGAGAAAAAAAAAACTATCATGAATTCGTCGGAAGTGTTCTATTCTTGCATATTCAGAGGTTCAGAACTTCGAAACAAGTTTCTTTTACCAAAATGTGTACAGGCTAAAAGAAACACGTCCCAGGAACGTGAAGCGAAAAAAAAAAAAAGTTTTCGTTTAATGACGTGCTGAACTTGAACACTATTAGAAATCTTCTCCCATGAGTTAATTTATTCCTTAACGTGAAAAAACAATAAATATATCATTTCGTATTCTGCAGATGGCAATGATATATACTGTCTGTGGTGTTAATTTAAATGCGATACCTCAAACAACTTAGACGAAAATAAATATCAAGTTTAGGTTATAATTGCATGCAGATACATGTTTGGACATTTCTTCGAAACTCACGTTGAATAACAATAATCACATCTTAAGACGGCTCTTACCTAGGCTGTACATAGATCATTCTTAAAAAAAGTATAACATATCTACCATAAAGAGCTCTGGCTGCAGCGTGCTTCAAATCTGGCACAAACGATAATCGTCAAAAACCTGTCGTCCTTCTTCGCCCCTTCGGGGATTTATTTCTTTAAACCTAAGCATGCCAGAACATTGAAATAAACGACATTGTCTTTCGTAAGGAACGCAGCACCGCGTGTAAAAAGTTCGAGAAAAAAAAATTACGAATGTACCCCACTACTTGAAATCAAATGAAACCGTCCGCCGGTCTTTCGAAGTTCGACGAACGTCGAACTTTTACCCTAAAAGTTCGAAGTTCGTCGAACTTCTGACTTTTCAGAATCCGAAAGTTCGAAACTTTTCGAATTCTCTTGATAAATAAGTTCGAAAGTTCGAAATCCATCGAATTTTTTGGTCAGTCAAGTTCGAAAGTTCAACAAGCATCGAACCTTGCAGCGCAATAAGTTCGAAAGTTCGAAAAAGATCGAATTTTTTAGCGTAATAAGTTCGACGGTTCGAAAAGCGTTGAACTTCTTAGCTTAACAAGTTCGAAAATTCGACCTCCGTCGAATTTTACGATATAGACAATTCGAAAAATCGAAATCTTTCGAACCGCTTGATTCGATCATCGAAACTTCGATTCGAAAAAAGTTCGCGGCATCCCTAATTGTAAGTCTACTATTTGATTTTAAGTCAACCTCCAACATAGGAATCCTTTTATCAGAACTCTACCGAATATATCTGTACATTGCTCAAAACTAGCTAAGTTGTTTGATGTTGTTATTAAAGAGCCTTTCTACTTTAGCAAAAAAGCACTGTGAATTGAATCCAATCTAAAAAAAGTATATAGTGTCTGTTTTCAGAATTTTAAATATTCGCACCTCCCCAGTGGAAACCTCGCCACTGCCTCGAAGCTATTTAATTCATATTCAAAATTTCAAATATTTGCACCCTTCTATAATACTCTGTTCAGTCATCCATTTATTTTTCGGCACGTGATCACGCTTCCACCCATGCCCAAATGCAGAGAACAGAGTCAGTAGATGAAAGAGATGCGATTGGGCCAGCGAGCCAGTAGCCCCTTTTGCACGTCTCAGACATTAGCTTCCAACCTGATTTACCCAAAAGCACATGCACAGGCTTGCTCACGAACAGTGTGCAAACCACTCGAGTAAATATAGAAAACCAGGGCAGTAGTGCCCACCTCGTTCAGGTCTTGGACTTCTTCCTCGTGGCTTTTCTGGAAGGCCCGGAGCCGCTCCAGGGTCGACTCTTGCTCCAGCTCGTGCTCCAGGACCATCTTGGCAAGCACAGACTCGTGCTCCTGTTGAAGGGTGCTCCGGAGCTGGAAGGAACCCAGAGCAAGTGGGCTCGTTTGCACCCCCGGATACACAGGCACACTAGCTGGGTCAAAAACCTCTCGAGAACTTCTGCCACCAGCACTTGAGGAGCCCTCAACGTGCCGAGGGTTTTAAAAGGATTCCATCTACACCTGTTGTTAAAGGGAAGCCCAAACCAGTTCAAAGATATTTCTAAAGGAATGGTAATACAGTTAAACCTCGATGTAACGAAGTCGGTAAAATTCGCAATTTACTTCGTTACATTGAAATTTCGCTAAATCGAAATTTGGCTTTCGCATGCAAAAAAAATTCCGAAACATTTTACGGGTATGAAAACTCACCGAAAATGACATTTATTTTGGGGCAAAGTAGTCCGCGAGTTTTGCTTGCGCCTTGTCCGACAGTAGCAGCGGCGTCATACGGCGTTCGAGCGCCCAGAGCGCTTGCACGGCATCTTGCTGCCCATGCGACGCCGTGTACAGTACCTCCTCAGTACGTCCATTGCGTCGAGCACTTCCCGAGTGCTCGTGATCTCAGCAGTTTCTTCAGGATGGCGTCCAAAACGTTTGCTTTCTCATCCAAAGAAAGAACTTTACGTTTCCTTATGCCCGCAAGCACGTGAGTGAACCGCCCGGTTGAAAAATAAAGCTGTTTAGTTTAGGCGGTGCCAATGTTTCCAACCTACACAGCACTCTTGCCCGCACAGTTTACTTGCGCCCACAGTGTGCTTGCGCCTTTGCTTTACATCACGGTCGCAAGACGATAATCGGTCTTCTCGGTCTTCCCCTAGATGGCACTGCCCGTGCGGTCGCGCCCAGTGGTCGCGTCATAAACGGCTCTGGGTCGCGCCATCACGTCGCTCCCCCGCTGAAGTTGGCTCCCGCGCTACCCGCGGTACAGTGGACTATGATGATCAGTGAATGTCAGTGGTGATGCTGTTATGCCGTGCAAACTTTTTGCTCGGCATTTTCTGGCCAGCCCCGCGGAATCCGCTTTGCCGCACGCCTCGCCGGCGCTACCGGCGCCGCATCCTCGGGCAGCCTAGGAACGTTGGAAGGCCTGTCCCCGTGAAGTAACCTATCAAAGCGCTCGCGTTTGCGCATAATTTTTTTTTAACCACAATTTTTTTTTGCGAAGTTGTTTTTTAGAGTTTATTTATTTATTGCCTTCTTTGGCAATGGCGCTTCGTTATATTGAAATACAGTAAAACCTCGTTATAAAGAAGTTGAAGGAGCGGTCGTAATTACTTTGTTATAACCATTAGTTTGTTATAGCCAATGTCCATTTCTTCCAACTATTCAAGCAAGGGGAATTACGATTGCTTTGTTATATCCATTTGTTTGTTATATCCCATTTTGTTATAACGAGGTTTTACTGTAGCAGCAAAATAGACTTTGTTATATAGAGACTAAAAATACATGGGGTCTATGGGCAAGAAATAATGAAAAATAAAATACTTCGTTAAATCGAGGATTTCGTTACATTGAAGTTCGTTATATCGAGGTTCGACTGTATTCACATTCTAAAAGGCTCAATGCAGTACTCAAATTTCTCAATCTTATCAGATATGCCTTAAAAATAAAGCAAATATAGTATCTACTATTCTGTAGTGTTTCAGTAGTACACTGAAACATCACGAGCGTGACTGCATTCTCTCCAGCTATGTGTGTGGCTTGACAGCCCCATCAGTTTTAGTCTTTGCCTCAGCAATTTCTGAAGCAAAAATCGCCCGGTTACATTAAAACTTTGTCAGCATTGTCCAGGGTAGCTCTGCTGAACGTCACCACTGCAGAATCAATCTTCAAGAAGCTTTTTTTTTTTTCTTTAGTATTTTCTTGATTAGACGCACAGATAAAATATGCTGCTACATTTGTGCCTGTCTTCTACATGCCCTTTTTGTACTGGTTTTAATTTAGGAGTCAGATAATTACATTAGTATACTGGTGTTTCAGCAAAGACTTTCAAAAATTCTTTCCAATTGGGTAGTTGTGAAAAATGAAACCTCTTTTCAAGAACAAACTGCCAGCCACAGCAGATATCCGGGATTGCAAAATAAACAACTTAATTAGCTAAATAATGAAATCAATTGACTAATAACTTTTTCAATCATTAAAAATAAACACATGGTTTCAATTTAGAAACTCATTAAGCGTCACTTAAAACCCCTAAATCAGCCAATTACAGGATGATTTAGACCACGTGCGAAGAGCGGGAGTGCGCTAAAGTTACCGCTCATGCAGTAGGCACAAGGCCGCCGCCGAGAAAACGCAAATATCCTTATCATCAGCATTTTTGCATTGCCAGCTTTAAGACTTCCTAAAATTAACCGACTTGGTGGGTATTCAACGACGCTCAACGAGTTTCTAATTGGAATCACATGTTTACTTTTCACTATTTAAAAATGTATAATTAGTAAATAGTTTGCTATTTAGCTAGTTAGATTGCGTCTTGCAATCCCTAACGTCCGCCGTGGCTGGCGGTTTGTTCTCGAGAAGAGTTTCTTTTTCTTTTTCTCGACTGTCCTATGGGCAGGAGTTTTTTTAGGTCTTCGCCGAGACGCCCGAACATGAAATACGAAGACACGCAAACAGAGAGGAACGGCGGTGGAAGAACCTACGCTGGTCAGGGCGAGCGCCGAGTCGTGCCGCAGGCTGTCCACGAGCTGGGACAGCTGCTGAAGCTGCTGCTGGTACAGGTGGACCTCCCGGTGGGCGTCCTCCAGCTTCAGGCGCTCCACCTCCAGCTGGTGGCGCAGCTCTTCGTCCGAACTGCGACACTCACGGCGAATTCGCTCCACTTCTGCGGCCACCGCCTGTGCCTGTGTAGTACACGAAGGCCGGTCAGCGGCGCAAACTTGTCCCCTCACATGCACAAGGACAAAGGCAGCACCCAACTTATTCACTAACAAGACGAAAACAACGGGATGTCTTCTTCGGCTGCCCAGCCTCCAGCACGCACTTGTTGCCTTCTAAAGCCTTGGCTGTGCGTGCACGCTTAAGCTTCTAAAGCTTTCTTAATAAATTGCGATCAAATTCAAAGGAAATTTATATAGCTAATATGCCTTCACAGTCTCACTAGAAATTTGTACAGTAATCCATGATTATAACAAAGCCAATGAGACTGTAAATTTTTTTTATAATTGGTAATTCGACAAAAGCGATAGAGGGACCAAAAACAGTGACACCAGCCTTGAAGGTGAATGGCAACACTGCAAAACACATTGACCATATATTTAATCACAAAATCTTGGTTCGAACATCTCCAGCAGCTTTACCGAATAAAAAAAAAAGAATTAAATGGAGTTTGCCGATAATTTCATCCGAGCATCAGTTCTCTTCAAACTGCTCCAGGCATCGCAAAGAATACTGGCACCGCCGCTGCACTCCACTTTGTTTCAAAGCCTCCGGGTTCCATCCCTTGACCCGAATCCGACAGGAGACGGGCAGCTTCGGTCACGGACAACGTGAGTAGCATCAGGACGTTCACGCTTCTCCCTGCCCGCGTCCCCGTGTCGGCACATCGACATCAAAAGCGGCGCTCTGCCAGCAGCTCTGCACATTCTGTCCTTTGTCACCCGTTTACTCCACTTTTCCCAGTATGCCGTTTGCCTCAGTGGAGAAGGGGGTGGGAACACAAGGGTCTCCGTATGTCTCCGAGTAGGACTGCATGCTTTCGGCGCCGAGGCCTTCGTAATAAGCATGGTCGGCCGCCGATGCACTTAGAATAGTCCAGATAAAAATGCTTGCGTTTCGGTCGGGACCATGTTGAACTTTGATAGAAGCGACAATTCGAAAAAAGCGATTTCATTATAACGAGGGATTACTGTAGTTTGTTTTGGAGTAGTCTAATTAAGTTTGTTAATATTAAAACTATAAAGTTGAACCTCGATTTAACGAAGTCACCTGGACCCACTAATTATTTAGTTAAATCGGGAACTTCGTAAAATCGAGAAAGTCATTTTGCGGGCATAGGCTGCGCGGGGAATCCTAATTTGTTTGTTAGATCGGGAAATTCGTAAAATCGGGTTTTGTTAAACCGAGGTTCAACTGTACTAATGTGCAAAGATTATGAAAAAGATAAAAACAAACTGAAATCCTGAATTAAAAAAAAGAAGCAAAAACCTATCTCAGCAGATTAAAATGTATGTGGAATCCAATAAGATGTAAATGAGAGCTTTAGAATGATTTATAAGTTTTTACGACGCTTATTAACAAATTTATACCACTTATAGACCATTCCATTTAGCGCTCTCTGGGCGGCACCATTTTGTTTGACAGCAGCGCCCTCGCCATACATCCGGGAAATTCAGCGGGTTCGGCGGGGTAAAACGAGAGAGAGGGCACGCGCCCGACTCCGCTAGCATACGACAAAACGGGAGGTTGCCATTCTCCACCTTTGGGCTGTACGGAACATCGAACTCTCGCTCGTGGCTGCCGTTGTGAAGTGGTTCGCGTTCTTAGAATAGTTATGGTTACTCCAAAATCAACCTATAGCTCTCTGTTCTACTTCGGTAAATGATCAACTGACATATCTTCTTTCCGTTACTTAACTAGCAGTTGAGTCCGCCGGCAGTACTACCCTCAACTACTGCGTGTATTGCGGCAGGAGAGCACGTTTTTATTTATTTCAGACATCCACTCATGGTCGCTAAAGGCCTACACCAGTACGAACTTTGAATAGTAAAAAAGGTACAGCCACCGGATTTACTTTTCGCCGGAGAGATCGGCCAGTCTGACACAGTTTTCCCTATTTTTTATTTTTTTTTGCACGCAGATAACAGCGCAATTAGACCCTGTTAGTCTTTTTTATCTAGCATAGTAATACACGATAACTGGCATACCAAATTCTGCGCATCTGCGCTTGAAATTCCCAAAATGACGCGATTTTAAACAGAGTTTGTACGCTAGCCAGGTGCTAGGTACTGCCCACTTGGCGGAGCAGACGACATGCGAGCGAGAGGGGGAGGGCATTTTTTCCTCTTTTCACCCTCTCTGCTATGACCCTAATGGAACGGTCTATAAACCCGTTCCGGAATTCAGTGCCATCTGGTGACTCAAATGGCAGTTTAACTTTTCCTCTACTAATGGTGGCAATGAACCTGTGATCTGCAGTATTTTATGAAGTACCGTCACTTTCGCAAATCATTGGCAAACGACAATGCGCGCTTTGCTGTACAGTTCCTTTTCAATCTCTTTCAGTGTCGGTGGTGAAAAAATTGCAACCAGCCAGAATGAAGTGCCAGCCCACACAGACACCTCGATAAAATTCAATACATCAAGGGGCTTTGAAGTAGAGTGTGTGCTACTAACACATTGACTGGGCCCAAGTTAGAAATTAACACTTACGCAGCTCTTGTATCCAATTCCTGCTTCACATTGCGCTAACGCCTAGCATATGTAGGCGTCGAATCACCTGCTTAGGAAAATCTTCAACTTCTTCCTTCATCGCTAAACAGAAGGCCACCATTAGTATTGCACACATGCCACTTTTCAGATAACGATAGTGATCAAAGTTGCCAGACTGAATTCCGGAAAGGGCCTATTGGGTACCTTGCACATACACCTACCCGAGAAAGAAAAAAGGATGAAGATTGGATCTGTGAGAGTGGAGATATGGCTTCCATAGAATAAGGAAGGGTGTAAATAATTCAATCTGAAACAAGGGCAAGGAAACATGCACAAACCCATTTTTCTATGTGTTCAAGTCAATATTTCAAGGCAAAAGAGACTAATTTCATGAAACAACTTCAAGATGATGATGAGTGCCTGCCAATCTTCAAATATACAACTAAAAAAGAAAGTGCTTAAAGTATTTTTTTTCCTTAAAAAGCAGTCAAACAAGGGAGAAATCCCGGATATTTCTCCCCGGCGCGCACGTCAACGCGACAAAAACGTCAGGCTTTTGCGATGCGCCGCTATGACGTCAGCTCTGCAGCGGAGGGAAGTTTGTATTCAATAATATTTTATCGTTAAACTATTTAACGTCAAAAGTAGGGCTCGCTAAATTTGTCTCCCGTGGTGTCAAGTGAGGAACCTGCTAAACTGAACTGCAAACGCTTACATCCTCCCCCTTGGCACTTTGTTGGGGCGAACGACGAAGTTGAGGAGAAAATCGTGCCTGCTGTTGATGTCACGCAAATCCCTGTCCTGATTTCTCCCCCGGGTGAATGCCGCTCGAAGGCCACGAGATGCTGAAGTGTTATTGAAGCTAGAAAGCTTGCATCAGAAGCGGGACAATCGAAGAACCTCCCTGCTCTTCAAATCCTGCCGGTGACTAGTCCTCGATTGAGGAGGGAGTGAGCAGAACCCGCTCTCTCCACTAAAATTATATACGAGACCTTTAACGCTTACGGTGTACACCTCGGTAATTTCAATGTTGGAAGGTGTCCATGACAAGACGCATACTACGCTGGAGCTCGGCGAGCTTGTCCAACTGAAGAAGGTGCCTGAGTAACGGATGTATTCAATTTTGTAGGTTTCACTCCACTAACGAAGCACTGGAGAAAGAGTAATAAGGCAAGCAAGCTGGTTTTATTGTTAGACACACTGAAACCTGACTCGCAACAAAAATAGGGATGCATACAACATGTCTCCAAGCGAAATGCTTCAAAAAGGAAAGTGTATGACACGAGACATGTCGTAGTTCCTTTTTTGTCCTCGGTCTCGAGTTTTAGCGTGTCTACCTAATACATTATTTGTTCATAACCAGCAAGTGGTTCGTAATTTTGGGGCGATCCACAGTCAAAATATTTTCCACCTCCTGCCTCAGTCTCGGGTAAAGGTCATCATTCTAAATGAAGATTGATGTACCACTGCATCAAAAAAAAATGAAAGCCGTTTACAACTCCCTGTAACGCCGAATTAGAGCGCAGCTCTTGACAAGGAGGAGCCAAGGCCACAAAGGTCACATGACCCTCCCCTGAGGTTACGTGACCTTGGTGGGGTCACGTGACCCCCTCCACAAAATCACAGTCGGGGTCACATGACCTCGGGGGGGGGGGGGGGGGGGGGGGGGGGGGGGGGTTACATGACCTGGGGGTGTCACGTGATCTCGGGGGTCATGTGACCCCCCAGAGAAATTTTTCCACTAGATTTAGCGGGGAAAGTTTTCCGCTAAATTTAGCGGGGAAAATTTTTCCGCTAGATTTAGCAGGGAAATTTTTCCGCTAGATTTAGCGGGGAATTTTTTCTGCTAGATTTAGAGGGTAAATTTTTCTGCTAGCTTTAGCGGGGAAATTTGTCCCCTAGATTGAGCGGGGAAATTTTTCCACTAAATTTAGCGGGAAAATTTTTCCACTAGATTTAGCGGGGAAATTTACTCATAATGCACCGCGCGGTTACGCCGACGGCGACGGCGCTCAAGTTGGAAATGGGCGCCTAAGAGCTGCGCTCTAAAAACTACAAAGACAATCAAAACTGCTAATGTGTTAAAATGCAAAAACCATTCATATACGTAGCATATTTCTCCAAGCTGCGTGCCGCACAATGCTGCACGCCAGCCAATGGGAGTCCATCCATCAATTTGCTGCTACAAACTACAAGCTTTGCTCTATCGGACTGGGGAGAGCGGCTTCCAAAACTGATAACGCTGGTTTGCTCCATGGGACCAGTTAATGTTTTCGCATTAAAATGCTGAAGTACTTTTTGATAATTATTGTGTTCTTCCGAAGAGATTCAAACATAGCTCTGCTGTGCATTGGGTGTGGTTTTCTCGTGGTGTGAGCGCACAAAGGGAAATTGGACTCTTGAGCGTGCTTTCACTGCAGGAGCACCGAGGAAAAGTTGGTTAATTGAGCATGCTTGTACTGCGGCACTGGTGCATTGAGAAAAAAAAGAGTTCCTTGAGCATGCTTTTTTTTTTTTGCAGCACCAGTGCACTGGGGTAAAGGGCGTTCATAAAGCGTGCCTTCCCCGCAGCAGTTTTGCACCAAGGTAAATTACATTAATTCAGCGCACTTTTTCCATAGCATTGATGCACCAAGGGAAAGTGAATTCACTGAGCACTTTCCCCATAGCACTGGTGCACCAAGGAAAAGCGAATTCACTGAACACCCTTTCCCCATAGCACTGGTGCACTCATGCAAAGCTGCATTGCAGGGAATAGGGAGGGCAGGGAGAGAGGTGCTCAAGCCCCTCACCTGATCTCTCTCGGCACGTGCGAGCAGTGCCTGAAGAACGTCGTCGACGGCGCTGCCCATCTGGCAAGCGTGGTCGCTGAGCATCCGACGTGCGGCCTCTAGGTCCTGTCGCAGCGAGGCCATGTCGGAGCGCGAGCTTGCACACACCACCGCCGCAACCTCTCGCAGACCGCACAGACTACGCCTCAACTCCTGCCGTCGAGCCCGCTCTTGTTCCAGATCACGCTGCGGGGAGTTGAACAGGGGTCAATCGGGCCCTCGTCGGAAATGCGAGATCGAAGAAGGCTCAAAAGAAGTCCAGAATCTCAAAACAAAAAATTCTGGGGATAAGATGAAAGCAGTCTTGCATTGTACCAATATGGCCCTCTTTTTTCCAGTTTGCTTGCCTTATCCTACAACTAACTTTGCTCGAATTTAACGAGATAACAGTAGGAAGATAGTAAGTTTCACAACCTACGAATATTTGTCACTACCTTCGAACCCCACTACAGTCACCGACCGATTTTTCAGACTTCAAAGAGACCGAAAAAACATCTGAATAATAGAGCAGTCCGAAAAATCAGCACATGAAAAGTGGCCTTTATAATGTCTCAGCGGACCTAAAAAAGTTGTCAATATTGCCTTGCTTCAGGGTATGCCTCTGCTTTTGGCCACTTTCTATTAGCTTGAGAATCACAGCCTTCTTTCCTACCGTTATACAGTAAAACCTCGTTATAACAAAACGGGATATAACAAACTAATGGATATAACAAAGCAATTATAATTCCCCTTGCTTGCTAATAGTGGGAAGAAATGGACATTGGCTATAACAAACTAATGGTTATAACGAAATAATTACGACCGCTCCTTCGACTTTGTTATAACGAGGTTTTACTGTATTAGAACACTTTCTGCGCTTCTTAGGAACACTTTGCAGCGGCGGAAGAAGAGATGGGGCCACGAAATTCAAGCCAGCGTAGTCCGAAAACACAATTTACCAAGACGAGATGAGAGGTTCAAGTCCAACAGAAGAATGAACAACGCAAAACTGTAACAATGATGATAATAATGACGCGCAGCTAGAGAAAAACAAAAGCAGTAGCATGCCGTTACCTAGCGGTAGGACTTAGCAGTAGTACTCAAGTAGCGCTGCCAAACCAAGCCAATCCATGTGCAGCCAACGTAGAATCTAATTCTCGGTGGTGCTTCCCGCCTATCGCTTGCGACGATTTCGTCCGAAATATTGAACTTTCAAACTTCAAGCTGTCCGAAACATTGGTAGTGAATATGCATTATTTTAATCGGGTAGGTCACGGTTCCTCCTTTAGGTCTGAATTATAGGTGTCCGAAAAATCAAGTCGGCGACTGTACCTTTGAAGCACACTACTTTTTTGGCCTGTCAGCCCCTACAACCAAGCAACCCAGTGTAGTGCACTCCGTGCAGTCATCCAGTTGGTCGTCAAATCTCGACAGACTTCCCAACGTGTCCACCAAACGCGAGGGCTGCTGCAGAAAAATGAAAGCTATTTTCAAAAGGGAAACGAGAAAAAAACCACGGCGAAATCCTGCAGACACGGCCTAGCTGTCAATAACCAGAATCGTCTTTGCTTTGAAAGTTTAGAATCACTGGCGCTAAATATTTCGTTGAACGTTAGGTTTCAAAACTTCCGACGTCTCATCCCAACCAATAGTTAGATTCTTGCAGTACCTGAGCACTCGTTGATGCGCGGCACATCTGCATGCCGAACAAAAAACGCGTTTTGCTTTTCTCGCAAACGCAGTGCCAATTTCTTTACAGCACCGGTGCCGGCCAGGCCCAGCAACTGAAACAAACTCCGCCGCAGCTCACCTGAGTGGACGAAAGAGCCGCAATCTTCTCTTCGAGCTGCCTCTGCAGTTCGGCCGCGACTGCGTCCTGTGGCCCCCGGGCCAGAGATGCCGGTGGCGCCCCTGAGGCGGGGGCCAGGCCGTTGCTGTCCGAATAGGAGGACGGCATCGATTCGTCGATGTAGAAGTCCGCAGTCATGAAGTCCTGAGAGGCGTGACCCTGGTGAGGACAACCGCCGAAGCAGGATTGTAAGTAACGCCATGTTGGAGGACAGTGGCCAAATTCCAGCGCGAAAAGAGACATTGGGAGCCTAAAAGTCTGCAACGATTGCGGAAGTGCCAAACTATTCGGTGGGCTAGTTGGTTCCACAATTGAGGAAATGCCATTTCAGAGGAACTGCATAATTCTGAGAGGCAAGAAAACAACAATACAAAAATGCTCTTCCTCTTGCAGATACCGCAGAACGTTTCAATAGTAGCTTCGTTCGATTTACCTACACTTCTTGCACTGGTGCAGAAAAGTGTAAGGCAGTACACTTCCGGTATCTGTATTAAGATACGACCGGAAGTACACCGCCCTACACTTTTCTGCATGGGATGCAGGAGGTGCAGGTAAATCCAACGAAGCTGGTAAAGACTGATGGGCAAAGATAAGGGTGTAGTAAAGTAAAATTAAAGCTCACTTTTAATATTCATACAGGCATTTGAGGCACTGATATACATCACATGGTACTCATATACTGGAAAGTTTTCTCGAAAGAGCTGACATTACTAGTACAGAGAAGTCCTACTGCAGTATGTATGTAAAGTCACAAACAAAGACAACGAAGCCGCCCAAGCGTGCGACCTCGCGCTACAAGTATGCATCATTTCACTCTTTTCTTCATTGTCACGTCTTTGTCGCCCTTCTAAGAGCAAGATATGGCTAGCCTTCCTTTCCTGGCTGCGGAACAAACGGCCACAGTCTCGAGCGGAGCCGACTCCACTCACCAGTGAGTCTGGGGACTGCACCACCGCGTCCTGCCGCCCCCTGTCGAGTGGCGTCTCCTCCGTGCGCGCCGTGGACGCCGGCGTCTCGCACACCTCCTCGAACTCGTCGTCCGACTCGGCCAGTTTGGGAGTGCGCTCGTGGTCGTCGGACTCTGAATGGTCCCTGCAGCCCTCCCGACTGCCAGTCTGAAAAACGAGTGAGGAGGAAAGCGACAAGATCAGACCACCCAGTTGCATCTCTGCAAAAAACTCAACAGCAATTCAGTTTTCCTACTAAATTTAGCGTGGAAAATGACGTCACATGACTTGGTGTCACATCACCAGTGAATAAATTCAGTTTCTCCGCTAGACTTGGCAGGAAAGTTGAGGTCACGTGCGGAGGAGGAGGAGGAGGGGAAAGGAGGAGGGGCATACCCTCCTCTCCACCTCCTCAAGAGCTGTGCTCTAATTTCACGTTACAGAGATTTGTCGACATCTTTAATTATTCCTATCAGTTTCTCCATATACATATCATATCTCAAATGACTCTACCAGTACTGTAAACATACTTCAACCTTCGTATCTTCCCTATGCTACAGCCCCTCCATCGTCAAGATTGATACAAGAAGACAAGTTCGAAATGTGCTATTAATACTGGTCCACACAGTATTAGAACAGGTCACAGAGATGTTACCGCCAAACAAACACCTAGTGGGCGACAGAAGAAAAGCGAAGCTCACCTGAGACGCTTGCAGAGTCGAGTCCTTGAGGCCATCATTTTCAGGTGAACGCATCTCGCACTGCGACGATGGTCCGCAGGATCGCATTTCCGAAGACGCCTCACCCGGCGGAGCATCGACCGAACCGCAGGACGAACGGAGCGGCACCTCCGGAAAGGCCGGCAAGGCCACGGACACCAGGAGATCAGAAAGCTCCGGCAGGTTTGGGAGTGTGTTCCGCAGGAGCTCCAAGTCCTCCGAAGCCAGCGGGGGGAGGTGGTCGTCAAAGGGCTTGGGGTTCCGGGTCTGATGTAAAGCAGATAGAGCAAAAATAGCTCGGGTTGGTCTCAACCAATCATTCGTGAAAATTCCCTTTGAGTGTGATTTCATAACTAATCGTTTAGTGAACACTGAAAATTCAGCAAAGCCTCTTTAATCTATTTACTCACGTTAGATCAACCGGAAGTAAGCGGAAGCTGACATAGACATTCTCAATGAAAAAAACAGTGAGTGCGTGCGCAGGTGAGCTGGTGGATATTGATCACGATGTAGAATAACCGAGACTGTGGTAAAAGCTGGGAAACTTGGTCAAAGAAAAAAGATAGGGGAAAAGAATGTCTCAAACTCAGCTACCGCATTCATTTCCTCAAAGCCTTATATATCCACAACCTAATCACCGACGTCACAAAGTCAACCTTTGTTATACATACAATCCCAACCACACTAATCTTCACCTGAACCGTAAACGGTGACCTCAATCCCAAACTGAAAACATGGGACCTTGAACAAAACAATCCCACCGACCCACTTCCTCTCCAGCCGGAGTCTGAAAGGGCTGTGCTTCATCTAAATGAGGACTGATATGTCCTCCAGCTGAACCCTTGCCCGCAAAATGACTCATTGCACAATCAACTACAACTGTAAAATGTAATGTTTTTGTCGTTTTCTTTTGTTTGGTTTTTCTACAGGAAACAATTGCGATAGATGAGTTCGAGACATTCTTTTCCCGTCTTTTTTTCTTCGACCAAGTTTCCCAGCTTTTACGACAGTCTTGGGTATTCTACATTATGATAGACATTCTATCCTTTTTTTACAGTAGAAACTCAATGATACATTACAGGCTTTTACGGTTTCCCAGCTTTTACGTTCGAAACCGCCGGTCCCGCTGAGCTCTTAGCCCCACAAAGGCTTCTCGCTTTTTACGTTTTCCCGAATTAAAAGTTTTTTTTCTTCTGTAGTCCCCCAAGAAATGTATCAATGAGGTTCTACTGTATTTACTTACACAAAAAATACTGGAGGCGTTTTGATTATGCTCCTTCAGGTGTGGGGTACAAAACAGCAAATAGATACAATAACAATAACACATTAAAGGGAAGATGGGGCACTTCTACATTTGAGAAAAAACGCTTGAATTGCGTTCATTTGGCCTTTAGATTAACAGATATCAAAATTGTATTTCAATGTGACGCGCCGGAGAGCCATAGAAGCAATTTCAAAATAGGACTGAAGCCCCGCCTCCCTAGCCTTGGGCAGCCAAAAGAGCCGTCGATGACGTCACGGACAGCGACTGTCTTTAGCGTTTTTCTCGCGTTTAACAATACTTGCGCAGCAAATGGTTTGGGTATTCGGGTTCACGGGGTAAAAATACACTAGAATTCACTTCTAACTCATTTTTTCCAAAAAGCTCCGTAGCTTCCCTTTAAACGCATGTCTACAATCTGTCAAGGATGGCAAAAACAATAAAGGAATGGTGCAAAGACGCAATCAAAATATAATAATTAATGACACAGTACAAACACAAAATTACATCATTAAATTATCAGTCTAACCAGTCATCTGCTGACGACTTGCCGACCGCCCTCCTAATCACATCTTGCTAGTAATAGAGTCTACGACGACCGTTGGGTCCAACTCACCGCAAATGGGGGTGGAAGATCTTGCATGCCCGGAAACAGCGCCCGCAGAAAGTGCTTTGAGAACTGGCTGTTGAAGGCATTTCTTGTCTCAACCTCGTTCTGATGTAGCTTCTGGCAGTGAGATGACAGAGAGCCTGCCCACTGTGAGAACCACAAGATTGTTTGCCGCGTCAGTTTTAAAAGGGGCCGACATGTACACTGTGCAACACTGTTAGCGCAAACATGACATCGGCCCGTTTCCACTATTTACTTAGAATTTTACTGCTTATGTTAGTGCCTCAACTGATCACATTTTACTATGCAAGTAATTTTCGTGAGAGCCCTCCAATTCTAAGAGACAAGAAAAAAAAAAGGAGATCGCCCGTCTTCCTAACAGGTCGTGCCGTGTGCAGGATGTTAAAAACAAAATATTTACAGGGTTTCATCCGCCGCAAAAATAAACTATGCATCGCCGATTGCTCATTCTCTGCCAAAATGTAGCGCTAGCCGTGTAGTGCTACCCAGATGCCAAAGTTTCAGAACAAACTGTTATATCATTCAATGCGAAAATGACAACTGACAAAGCCCTCGAACACATAGAGCCGAATGGTACCAGTTACCGAAAACAGGCCCCATTTTCTCGTAGAAAATTTTAAGAAATCACGCACAACTTTTTAGTAATGTAACCTGTTTGTCCTGAAACATTGGTGACTGGTTCGAACCACTGGCACTACGTTTGGGCAAAGGTTGAGCGTTTGGCGATGCCTAGTTTATTTTTCCGGTGGAAAGAGACCGCGTGCAAGTTTTTTTGGGCAGGACACACTGTACATGTGGCAAGGAAAGCAAGGGATTTGACAGTTGGGGAAAAGTTTGCAACAACTGGGCAGGAGATCGAACTGTAGGGGGCACTTTATTGAGCTTCTTGTCCCCACAGTTCGGTGTTTACCAGCACAGCATAACAAAGAAATTTAACCCCGCCTAGCGCGGTCTGAACATGAGCGCTTCACTCTGATGAGTGTTTTGGTTGCACGAGGAGTGGCCTTCAAATTGTCATCTTCGATTTCTCCTATCAAAAACAAAAAAAAATTGCGGTGGCTTAGCTCGGCTATGCCAGGATATACGTAGCGTGAGCTTATGCGCACAAAATGAGAGGCGCTATCAAGCGGTTCCGGTGCAGCGTCAGACTTGGCTACTGCGCAACGGAGGCGCACAGCTGGGCACGCGGCGGCGCCAGTGCGTTTGCTGCGGCTATGACATCACTCCTCAGGAATGCGCAGACCGGCGAGGCAAGCGCGGCGGCGACATCTCCGGCGCGCCAGGTGTGTGCCGTGTGACGTCACTGCTCCTTGCGCATGCGCAGCACGGCTCATTATGCGAGCCACGCGAAACTACTCAACCTCGGCCAGTGTAGCTCACGCTACAAAAGAAAACTCGGTCTGTTGCACACACAGCTGAAGCGTCCCGCTAGAGGCGTGACTCTTCAATCTCCTCCCCAATAGTAATTAATTACGGGTGAAACTACGCCAAACAAATTACACTTTATTGACATCAATCTACCAAATATTGGCCCATGCACAGAAGAAAAGGCGAGGCAGTTGCTGCCTCGTCAGCCTCCCCATCATCAACTAGGTACTCTTACAGCTTACATACTCTGGCATTCCTTGGGTCACACTAGCAGCAAATATAGGCCGCGATCAATGAAGTCAACTAGAGCCAGGGCAACGGCACTGGGACAATATCACTGCACAGGATATTTGGTGGCAGCTGTCACCGGCTTACACCGACATGCCCGACGGAAAACGTAGGAGACGCTTCCCATTCTCTTGCCTTTTGAAACAGCCAGCAACGGCGTAAAATTCTGTTGCCAGAATCTCCTAACGTTACATTTGAAACACGAACAGTCGCACTCCAGAACCGTGCCTGCCATTGACGGCTCCTGAGCACCTCTCGGCAACTGAATGTCGGCACCTGCAAGTTCCTGACGCATAAGCAAACATCACCAGATGCAAGCAGACGACTGATCGCTGTGGTATAAGAGGATGGGAGGAAAGGACGTCGAAGCTCTGAGCACGGCTCCCCATTCTCTCGAGTGCAGCTCTGGCCCGATTCTATTATCTAACGGCAGGTTGACACATTTGCGTCTGCGTTGTGCTCGCTCATAACCACTTACGGCCGACACTGTGGCACACTAGTGCTGTACCGAAGGTCTCGCAGTACATGCAAGATCAAGTTTACATACCATCTATGAGAAACAGTTGCTCGTAACATTGCCAGAATTATTTGAACCACACAGTGAAAGAATACTGCATAAACAATTAGGAAACATGTACATATACTGGAAGTGTTCCAGAACCACACGACAGATGGCACCAGTAGTGTGGTCCCCGTCGTAAGTGGCCGCAAGCAACTGCGACGCACTTGGTAATGTGCGAACCGGCCTCGACATTTGCGACAGGTGCGACAGGGCTGACCTCCAGAAAATGTAGCGAGAAGTTGCGGCGCCGCACCACCTCCGCGACGGCGTGCAGGTAGACGTGGGGTGCCAGGTGGACCTGCCGAAACACCTCGAGGTGCCTGCACAGCCGCTTGGCCGTCTCGGAGTAGAAGACCATGCGAAGATTCACCTCGTGAATGGCCTTCTCCACGTAGATGATCCACCTGGAAATCACCACGGGGACGAGAGACGAGCAGTTTACGCGGTCAGACTCCAATTTTGTTTCCCCGCGTTTCAGTGCACATAGTATGAATATTCTTTGAATATGGTTTTGTATTTTAGGGATTTTTTTTTTCTTTTGGATCTGTTCGGCGTTGGACAAAAAATCACGCTCGTCCGGACTTGGGTTGAATGAGACGGACAACAGCCATGGGATGCCCCGACCTTCGAGTGACATGCGTGCGACCCAATCTACCATTTTTGCGTGATTGTAACGCACACTTTTTTTGTCGCCAAAATCGGTGCCCATAAATACAGTTAAACCTCGATGTAACGAAGTCGGTAAAATTCGCAATTTACTTCGTTAAATTGAAATTTCGCTAAGTCGAAATTTGGCTTTAGCATGCGAAAAAAAAATTCCGAAACATTTTACGGGTATGAGAACTCACCGAAAATGACATTTATTTAGGGGCAAAGTAGTCCGCGAGTTTTGCTTGCGCCTTGTATGACAGTAGCAGCGGCGTCATACGGCGTTCGAGCGCCCAGAGCGCTTGCACGGCATCTTGCTGCCCATGCGACGCCGTGTACCTCCTTCCTCAGTACGTCCATTGCGTCGAGCACTTCCCGAGTGCTCGTGATCTCGGCAGTTTCTTCAGGATGGCGTCCAAAACGTTTGCTTTCTCATCCAAAGAAAGAACTTTACGTTTCCTTATGGCAGCAAGCACGTGAGTGAACCGCCCGGTTAAAAAATAAAGCTGTTTAGTTTAGGCGGTGCCAATGTTTCCAACCTACACAGCACTCTTGACCGCACAGTTTACTTGCCCCCTTGCGCCCACAGTGTGCTTGCGCCTTTGCTTTACACGCTTTACATCACGCTCGCAAGACGATAATCGGTCTTCTCCTAGATGGCACTGCCCGTGCGGTCGCGCGGTCGCGCCATCACGTCGCTCCCCCGCTGAAGTTGGCTCCCGCGCTACCTGCGGTACAGTGGACTATGATGATCAGTGAATGTCAGTGGTGATGCTGTTATGCCGTGTTAACTTTTTGCTCGGCATTTTCTGGCCAGCCCCGCGGAATCCGCCTTGCCGCATGCCTCGCCGGCGCTACCGGCGCCGCATCCTCGGGCAGCCTAGGAACGTTGGAAGGCCTGTCCCCGTGAAGTAACCTATCAAGCGCTCGCATTTGCACATAATTTTTTTTTTAACCACAATTTTTTTGCGAAGTTGTTTTTTAGAGTTGATTTATTTATTGCCTTCTATGGCAATGGCGCTTCGTTATATTGAAATAGCAGCAAAATAGACTTCGTTATATAGAGACTAAAAATACATGGGGTCTATGGGCAAGAAATTATGAAAAATAAAATACTTCGTTAAATCGAGGATTTCGTTACATTGAAGTTCGTTATATCGAGGTTCGACTGTACATGTGTTACAATCAAAACCAAAACCAGAAACGCAATACTTGGTATAAGGTGGCTAGCCCTATCGCCATCGTGGCCATCTGTTTACATTCGCCATTTCAGTATCCGTATCATGCGAATTTCCTCGTGCCTAGGACTTGTGTCTGCCATCTTAAGATGGAAAAAGAAAAGAAATTAGACTAGGAGGCATCATTTAAATGAAAGGCTATCACGCTGGCGGGAAAAGATAACAACGGAGCAGCACTGTGTGGCCTCGCAATCTTAGCGACCTGACGAGCTTGCAAAGTTGTTTGGAAGACAACCTTCCTAGAGGTGACGGTCGCGCACTCGTATGAACACAAGAAGTGCCGCACCTAAAATGCTTTAGACAAAAGCAAGGAATACCTTTGTGGACAGCGAAGAACCATCGTCGGACTCTGACCATGGCGGCTAGTGCACGGTATTTATTTTTGTAATGGCGTGCGTTTAAAAAAAATCTGCTCAATGAGGTATGTGCTCAGCCTTCCTTTTTTTACTTGAGCGGTACAATCAGCTTTCAGTTCTTTTTCGAATATTTGAGCGCTAAATATACCTGTGCGTTACAATCAGGGGCGCGTTACAACGTGAAGTTACGGTACCGTATTTACCCAAAAATAGGTCGACCACGAAAATAGGTCGACCCCTATTTATTGAGCCCACCGAGAATCAAAAAAATATAATTCAAATATAGGTCGACCTTTCTTTTTTTTTAAGGAACAGGGGAAAGTTAGGGCAAAAGAAAAAAACCTTTATTTACAGCACTCTCAGCTAAATCACAGGGCGATGTCAAAAAAGCTTCGTCAGCTTGGTAGACATCCTCGCAAATCGGCAACAATACCTCACTGACACCGTTGTAAAATGGATGACGACAAGAAGAAACGAAAGAAGGTGGAGACGGGCGAGCGACGAAAGATCAAACACAAAGACACGAGCTACGCTGCGAGCCCCGTGAGTAACACGCGACCCGCCGAAAAAAACAAACTAAAAAAATCCGTTTTTCTTTTTTTTGTTTGTTTGTTTGTTTTTGTTTGCGCGTTTGCGAGGGAGAGAGGAATGGAGCGCATAGGAGGGCAAAGTGCATGGCCATAGCCGCATGGCGCATCGCGTTCCTCTCCCTCCCCTTCCCCCTTGCCTAGCGAGGGGAACGCTACAGGCGTGATGGCGAAACTCGATGCCCGAGGAATGTGCGCGAGAGCCGTTCCCGCGGACACGGGCTGTCGGCTGCTGCTGTTCGGTTGTTTTTGTGCATCAAAAGCTTTTTGAAACAAGAAGCCGCGCGGCTCTACCGGGACGCCGGCTAGGTGATTGATAGCTCCATACCCTCGGTAGGGTTTCAAATTTTGGTTGCGAATTAGGTCGAAATTCTTTGGTCACGATTATAGGTCGACCCTTAATTTTTGACAACATTTCCGAAAAAAAGAGGTCGACCTATATTTGAATAAATACGGTACTTGTAAAATGTACAGACAAGAAAGAGAAACGAGATAACGGTGGTGGTTCCCGAACCTCACAGTGGGGCTGCGCTCTGGGTGAACATAAAATAATGCTGTAGCTAAAGATTTCTTCCGGTGAAACTTGGTTTTTTTTGAATCGAGGACAGCTCCAATTCATAGTCCTTTTGTCTTTCCCGGATATGGCAAAACTGGAACACCACTTATTCCGAAAACACGAAACCCCATTTATAAGGAAGGCCTACGCATCCGCTTTCGTGTGGAGCACGGCAGTTAATGGGAAAAAACCTGTATGTGAAAGCATGCAGGTACAGGTTTGGCAAAAAAAGCAAGATGTACTGGGACGACGAGTGTGTAAAAGTTGTGCTCGGTGACCCCACACAGCTGGCAATATTGATCTCCAATGTCGCAGTATGTCCTTGTTTGCCGGTCTCTCCCTGTGAATGCATGCAACAGGCTCATGCGTGCTCTGTGGGAATGCAGATGCGTGGGCCTTCATTATAAAGGATATCGTTGAGAGCATTACATATGCATTGTGTATGTAACTGAATGGACTGAACTGTGGCACACCCGTGGCCAGTACAAAAATACTTGACTGGAGATAAACTGGATTCTCCGACACTCGCACATCAGTTGGCTTACTTTGTTCCGCAAGTTCGGCTGCACCGGCCTTTCACGACTAAAACGGCCAACAACATACCGGCACACGTCACGTGACAAGAAGCACATCACACGCACAATAACTCGTGCAGCCATTCAAAATAAATAGCACATGGAACAAACGAGTCATAACGGCCGACATTGAAATGTCTGGCACACACATGCACAGTAAGTGGTGCAGGTACTCAAAATACACCACAAGTGGGGCAACCGAGTCATAATGGTCGACATCCAGACATCTGGCAGAGACGCTGCGGGACCTGAAACACGTCACATTCGGAGCACTTGACTTGAGTCACGCACTCGGTGCTTGCACCTACCGCAGCCGTGAATTGAGATTTTCCGACAGTTCGTTCTTGGCGGCCGTGCAGCGCCGCCTGATGTCCCTGAGTTGCTGGTGGTTGGCCAGGATCATTTTGAGCTGCTTGATGTGGCTGGAGCACAGGTCCGGAAAGATGCTCGGGTCCTTGAGATGAGATGCTCGAGCCTGGTTCTGTGCAAATGCCTGTGCCAAACCGCCCAAGTATAGAATGTTGCGCAATTAAGGCGGGCTTCCAGCTGTTCACAATCTCTTGCAGTAGAATGTCTCTGCGTTAAAGCCGTTTAGCTTTATAGAATAGGAGGTTTGCTAAAGCAGCATCCTTAAAATACTGTAAAGGGGCAAGCAACAATCTTTCTCTGTCATTGTCTCACCTTCTGCTCATCAACAGCGAACCTATATCAGCTCGTTTACCGTGACTCGTTGACTTCTACCGGCATCTCATTTATCGGTATGCGTATTAGCGCCTCACTTCGGCTAATGTGAAATTCATAAACGACCACACCTCGTTTTCCTAGATATGTGTCTTTACACCACAAAAAGCAGAAACGTCGTCAGTCCTCTGAATTTTGTGCAATGTCTGGCAGAACCCCTCTAGCTCCCGTATGTGTCCCAGATGGGTAGATCAGAGCAAACCAATGGAACATGCCTCGATTGCACTCTAAAGCAACTCTACCATGATCACAGAATAGCAATAAACATACACAAATTCTTTCTAAAAAGACTACCAAAAAAAGGATTTTAAAGGACTCCTTATTTATCATTCTGCACTCTAGCCCACTGTGCTCATCCCAAAGGGTTTGTATTGCTTTCATAAATAATTCATTGTTAAAGACTACGTCTGAAGTCAATAAAGCAATGACCACCAAAAACATCCCCAGAGAGTCATAATGTCCGACTATCTGTCTACTTACGATGACGAAAGAGAGTTTACTGGTACAAAAGCAACCAAGGCCATATTGTGCGACTAAAGACGCTCACAAGCACCGACAACTACCGTTGTGCAATTGTGCGAGGCTCGTTCCATGAGCGGGCACTCCGCCACCGTTTACTTTCAAGGGCAGCTCAATCTAGGGATGCACCACCGTCTGCTTCCAAAGGCACATGAGGCCTGAATCTTGTGCACAGGCACATTTGACACTGCTCGTAAGACCGACACAAACCCACTGAGGGGCTGTATGTGCCACCTCTGCTCAAGGCACTGCGGCCCAAACTTGCCTGTGCCAGTTCCTGCTGGTCCTGGACCAGCCTCTGTGCCTTGTGCATCAGGTCTTCGAGGCCGTAGAGACGCTCCTCCAGTCCCTTGATCTCCTTCATGGTCGGGTTGTCCACCGAGGCCAGGGTCGACTCCACGTCCGCCTTCACCTTCTCTAGCGTGGCATCGTTCAGCTGCCGGAAAGGGACGGGCACGCAGTGCATTGCGGGAGCTGCTCTTTCTGGCGGCCATAGGAAGGGTCGACCCTAGCCAACGTTCCTGGGACCTACATAAGAAAGCTGGAGTGCTGAATATCTGCCGTCGCCTAATTATTGCCGATGCGGGGCACCAACTGGATGCGAGAGCTGCCTCAGGTGTTTGAGGGGGCTCATGTTCTTGCGACTAAGCATGAGCGGTAAAACTGTCCCCTTTTTCTTAAGCTCTTGCAGCATCTCTCTCTAGCACTAACAATGTTCGTTGCTAAGAGAACTGAAAATTCACTTCAGTGTTCCTTTGACACATGTCTGGGACACTTCATGCATTAACAACCAATGGTCTTACCTGTAACACACAACAGTCGCCCACCGATTTTTCGGACGCCGATAATTCGGAATCGTTCAATATTTTGGACCTAAAGGAGGAACCGTGACCTACATTGGTCGTGAATATGCACATATTTCTGCCGGGTAGGTCCTACCCGATAGAAATAGTGCATATTCACGACCAATGTTTTGCACAGCTTGAAGTACGAAAGTTCAATCTTTCAGACAAAATCGTCGCGAGTGATTGGCGTGAAACACCACTGAGACGCCGCCATTTTAGATTTTATGATGGCCGCACATGAATTAGCTTGGGCGGGCAGCCCAAGCTAATCCTGCCAAGTACTACCATTAGGTGACGCTACGCTACCGCTTTTTTTTCTTCTCTAGCTGCGCGTCATCCCATTGCTACTATTTTGCTCATATTGCTTTGTTCGTTCGCCATTCTGCAGTTGTGGACTTGCACCTCTCGTCCTGTCTTGGTGAATTTTGTTTTCAGACTACCTGGGCTGGGACGGCATGGCCCCATCTTTTCTTCCAGTGTTAGCAACACTTTGCTTCTTAGCAAAGTGTTGCTAAGAAGCACGAAAAGCACTCTACCATAACGCTAGAAAAGAGAGCAGCAATTCTAAAGCTAATAGATAGTGGCCGAACGCAAGCGGAGGCATAGCCTGAAGCAAGACTCCATTGACAGCTTTTTTAAGGGGAGACACATGGGTCTTTGGAGCAAAAAAGTCTATAAACTGTTCTTTTGGAAAATGGCAATTTTAAAATCTGCAGCTGTTTTTCTTTCAATCTGCCAAGTTTCTTATTTTGAAGATTAATATTTGAGCCATATCACTTTATAGTTATCTATCTGGTCTGAAATTGCACTGAAGCAAATGCTAAACTCACACTTTTAAAAATTTTGGATTCCTTAGAAATTTTCAGAAGGGATATTTGCCCATCTAGTGCAGACAGAATTATTATTCTTTTTTTAGCAACATGTAGCTGAATGAGCAAAGCATACAATGTTCAAAGCAGATTTTTCAATATAGGCAAAGAAAAATTTTAAACTGAACTATTGTTTTATTGATTGGAAGCCACACAATGAGCACTGAACTTCAATGTGTTGTGAAATCACTAAGAATAGTTTGATCTAAAAAGAGCTTCCAACATTGTATTCTTCATAGCCCTTAGTGACTAACCAGCTGTTAAAGCATTCCTTAAAAATTTTGTTTTTTTTCCTATTGTTTTTGCAAAGACTGTTAATTATAATTATCCTGAAAACAAACCTACTAATTAAAAAAAATAACAGATATTTGAAATCAGAACAAAAGTCTGAACAAGCTTGTGCTGTTTCATTGGGCTACGCCAAAAAAATAAGAAAAAAACTCCACTTAGACATAATAAACGGAAGTTTTTTAATCTGCTAATTTTTCTTTATTATTCTGACATTTTATCGGTCCCTGCAAAGTCCGAAAAATCAGTCAGTGACTGTAGTACTCTAAGAAGTGGGAGGTGGGAAAAGGGTTGGGCCTTACATCAATGTGTCTACTTGCCTGTTTGAGAGACTGGACACACTGGGCAGCCACCTTGTCCAATGTTGTCTGGCTGTCCTGCAGTTTACAAAGAAGTTGAACAGGCTTCAGGGACGAAGGAAAAGATTTCCGCACGGGCAATGTGCGGAAGAAAGGCCCCAAGGGAGTCGGACGTTGCTCGCAATTCCGTCGAAACGCCACAGGAACAGAATTCCAAGACAACGTGGAGAAGCGTTGGTTCTAAAGACTCACATAAGCCATGCCGGCTCAAGTTCATGCAAGACGTCTTTGCAGAACTGGCCCAAATATCTTGCAAACGGAAAGAATGATGCAAAAAATGTGATGTGGGAAAGATGACGCACAGAGTGTCGCGGTACAATCGTTACCAAACATATTCCGTCTCACCTTACGATGAACTGCAGCGCACACCACAAGGCATCTTGGCCAATCCAGCGCCATGGATGTATCACGTCACTATGCACTCCGTGCAGTGCTGTGACCTTCCCAAAGCTCATGTGACACTCGCACGTCGTTGAGTTGGCTTTGACGGCTCGTAGCATCTTCCACAGTTTATTGTAAGGTGAAACGATGTGTAGCCAATATTTAGGTCTCGCCTTCTACGGGAAAATAAGGTTTGAAGACGAATTCGGACTACGACTAACTAAAAAGCGATTCCAGGCTCCTCGTTATCATTTGATTGCTAGTTAAAAGAAAATGCACTGTTCGCAGCACCAATCTCAGCGCCCGGAAAAAATGGTGAACGATGTAACAGCGGGAGACCAACCATACCTGTGAATGAATCCAGTCGAGTAGCATGAATGAAGAGGTCTCCTGCATCGGCTTGGACGAGAGGAGAGCCGGCAGGACTGGGATCTTGGACAGGAGCTCCAGATCACGCTCGAAACTGGTGGGTAAAAAATATTTGACCCTTGTGTTTGCAACAGTGGCCGAAAGACTTCTACCGGACCAAAGTGTCCATGTGCACAAACCGTGTTTACTTGCTTCACATTTGTCCCTTTTCTCATGCTAGTCCCAGGGTCGACAGGTATGTGCAACGCTTATGAACGAGAATTGCACACTCCCATTTCTTATATAGTAACTCGGGTAGAAGCTTGTAAGTGACTAACAAATGACGAAGCTCAGTGGCAAGTATAAAACAAGATTAGCAGAACTCCAAGCTTACTGGGCCTCTTTCGTAAGGAACAATAGTTTCTTTCATTTCAGATTTTGGCAAAAAGAAAGGCAACTTTCAAAACTTCCACCGCACTCCAATGGTGCCAATCCGCACTTAATGGCCAGCTCCCAAACCCCTGTGCTGCCAACCAACCGCGCGTGTTCGCACGTGTCGCGTTTGGACAACATGTTGCGAGTCGCCCCCACGCGATGCTTTCCTCACCTCAGTCTGCGATTTCTGGGCGTTGTCGCAACAAAGAAAAGAAAGGACGACGGGGCAACAATTTGAACAGACACGGCAACCCATGCCAGACAGACGCACATTAGACTGGAGCGTCAGCTGCAACTCTCATAAACCGTGACTCCGGGGCCCATAGGAACCCTGTTATGCTAAACTATACTCCGTTGCAACCTGAGAACGAAGGGCGAGGGTAAGATGGGCCAGGGAGGAGGAAGCAGACGGAACGCTAAAGAAAGAAGGAAGTGTCCCCCTCTCTTCTCCAGCGTTCCGTCTGCTTCCTCCTCCCCGGCCCGTCTTACCCTCGCCCTTCGTTCTTAGGTTGCAACGGACTATAGACTCATGCTAAACTTTGGCCAGTAAATAAGTTATGCTTACAGTATTGGCACTACATTCCCCGATTATCGCTTTAACATTTTTCGAGGACGGAAAAAGGCGCTCCAGGAATTTCAAATCAAGGCTTCGGAAAACTAGCAACAATAATTTCAAGCCCCAAGATGGCCGACGAGTCGTTACTTTAAAGTATAGTTTATTTCATGGCTCCAAATGTTCAACGTTTCAAACGAGCATTTGGAGCATGACTGTTGAGACAGAAAAATGTATTTTTCCGGGGTGGCCTTTTACGCAATATCCATCTATTAGGAGTAGGCAGCTCACATGGAAGACATCATGCACAGTGCCCTCTTCATGCAAGGCAAGTGAACAGCACAGCAGTCGGATGCAACTGCTCGTGAACACGGTTGTTCATGCAAGCAACGAGCTCGACACCTTTCAAGCAGTGCTGTGTGCTGGGGCTTGTTCCGGAGGAACTCCACGAAGGACTGCTCAAACGTGGCAGCACTGTTCCTGAAGGCTCTGAAAAATGCCAAAAGGGGATGACATGTAATTGATGGCACGAGGAAGGGTAATAGCTTCGGCCGCATTGCGAACAACCTTCCCTTGCTGAATTATAAACACAGAAAGTTTAGAAAAGTGTTTTTTAAAAGGACACTGAAACCCTCCAAATTTTTTGCCAGGCAATCAATAATGGTGTCAGAAGACCACTCAATTAATATTTTGCTACAGCATAACATATATTTTCAATAAAGTAAAAAAAAACGCAACTGCTCCACACCAAAATTGAAATTGTCAAAGGCACGCACTCAATAATTAAAAATAGAAAAATAAATATGATACCCATTTTTTGTCTCTTCTAAAAAACCGTATTTACATTGATTTTTTCAATCAATGTAAATACGGTTGTTTAGAAGAGACAAAAAAATGGGTATCATATTTCTTTTTCTATTTCTATTATTGAGTGTGTGCCTTCGATGACCTACGACTATATTGGGTGATTATGTCTAAAGCATAGAAAATAGCATGTGACCACGCAGAAGAGAGTGAGCGTGACTCAAACCGGCCAGTTCTTGATCGCCGTTAGGCGTGCTATGCTATGGATTTCGTTTTCGCCACGTCTCCAGCCAACATTTTGTTATATTTTCGTGCCAGTCGCCTTCCATTAATTAAGTGCAGAATGCGCTGTTGACAGCTTCTAAACTTTGCACCTAAATGCCTCGCGGTTTCGTCGTTTTGCTCTGCGTCGATACCTACTTTAGACATCATGGACTCTTCTTGCACCTCTGCCGGGTGAGGACGCGATGCTGACATGAATGCAAGCGAACATGATTGCTTGCAAGCGTAGCATGACACAAGGTACTTTTAGTGACTCTTTAAAAACCCCTTAGGCTCAATAAAGTCAAGTTTTGTAATCTGCAGATTTTCCAAACCGGTTTATTATTCTGACGCTCTTTGAGCCCCCACAAAGTATGAAAACTCGGTCAGCGACTGTATACACTACAGCAGACACATATACAACACATAGTGGAAAAAACATAACCAGAATTCGGTAGTACTTAACATCCTTCCCATGGCAGTGAAAGAACACAGTGAACAGTGAAAAAGAGCATTCACTTCAACAGCACCACAATGGTTCTTCTTAGACATCTAAAATAGTTTAAATTTCTTGTAATGCTTTTAGAGCGCAGCTCTTAGGGGCCCGTTTCCGGCTTGAGCGGCGTCGGCGTCGCCGTCGGCGTAATTGCGCGGTGCATCATGGGAAATGTCCCATAATGCACCGCGCGAGCCCCCCACCGGGGTCACGTGACCTCGTGGGGGGGGTCACGTGACCCCCCGAAGTCACATGACTCCCCGAGGTCACGTGACTCCCCTGAGGTCACGTGACCCCTCCTCGAGGTCACGTGACCCCCGCCGATGTCGCGTGACCCCCCGATGACGTCATCGTCACTGATGACGTCACCGGCATCCACATCGTCATCGTCATCATCACTGATGACGTCATCGGCATCCACATCGTCATCGTCATCATCACTGATGACGTCACCGGCATCCACATCGTCATCATCACTGATGACGTCACCGGCATCCACATCGTCATCGTCACCATCACTGATGACGTCACCGGCATCCACATCGTCATCGTCACTGATGACGTCACCGGCATCCATATTGTCATCGTCATCATCACTGATGACGTCACCGGCATCCACATCGTCATCATCACTGATGACGTCACCGGCATTCATATTGTCATCGTCATCATCACTGATGACGTCACCGGCATCCACATCGTCATCGTCATCATCACTGATGACGTCACCGGCATCCACATCGTCATCGTCACTGATGACGTCACCGGCATCCGCATCGTCATCGTCATCATCACTGATGACGTTACCGACATCCGCATCGTCATCGTCATCATTACTGATGACGTCATCAGTGACGTCACTGATGTCGTCACCAGCATCCGCATCGTCATCGTCATCATCACTGATGGTGTCATCAGCGACGTCACTGATGACGTCACCGACAATCGCATCGTCATCATCACTGGTGAAGTCATCAATGACGTCACTAATGACGTCATCGGTACCCGCATCGTCATCGTCGCTGATGACGTCACCAGTGACGTCAGTGATGACATCATCGGCATTGAGGGTCACGTGACCCCCAAGGTCACGTGCCCCCCCCGCTGGTTAGTTTAACCCCCCCCCCCCCCCCCCCAGTACCCTTCCCTCCTCCTCCTCAAGAGCTGCGCTCCAATTCGGCGTTACAGGGAGTTGTAAGCGGCTTTCATTTTTTGCACTATTGATTTATTGTTTGGTGGCCACACATTAAGCACTGAACTTCAATGTGTTAGATAGTTGGTGACAGGTCAAGAACGAAGTGGAAGCTCCTCCCACCCCTTTCCACTTCAGTGGAGCAAACGGTAGAGAGGAGGTCGCCTCCTCTCCAGCGTTCGCTCTGCTAAAGGGGAAAGAGGTGGGAGGAGCTTCCAGTTTACTCTTTACCAGTCACTGACTATAGTAAAGTCACTAATAATGGTTCAATCAAAAAGGTGCTTCCAACATTGTATTCTTTATAACTTGTACTATCAGACCATATGCTAAAACAATTTTTTTTCACTACTCTTTTAGGAAACAAAGTTTGGTTAATTAAAATTATCCTAAAATATCATTGACTAATTAAAAAAAAACATATTACAAATTAGCACAAAAAAATGAACAAGCCTGTGCTGTTCATTAAGCTTGGTCAAAAAAATAAAAAGAAAGCTCCAAGACCACTGTTCCACCTTAACTAAAGTGAAATTTATGATATGCAGGTTCTAGCGTATCCTGTCCGTACCTTGACGTAGTGGTCGATCCCAAAAGAGAAACCTATCGACTTACAAGAAAGCAGAACATTCCAAAACCGAGCATATAATGATTGGGGTTCAAATGGTGGGTTCCGCCAGATCGCAGGTGCCACTCGGCCATGCTCAAGAGCGTTCACTCACGCTGTGGTGTCTTCCAAGTTGGCAACGACGGCAGCCCAGCCCTGCTGCTGTAGGTGCTGGTCGTGGACAAGCATTTCACATGCCTTGGTCTCACGGCGTGCACGCTCGTAAAACTCCTGAGGAGGAGAAAAGAAAAAAAAAAAGTATGTAAACCACTAGCTACACTTATTCTAGATGCATACCAGGCGGCACATCAGACTGAGGAACGAGCAGAACAAGGTGGTGCGATTACGGTAAGAACAAAGAAGAATACTATGTCTCCAAGAAAAGCGTAATGTAAGGATTCAATGCACTGCAAAAATTGCTCACGCAAAAAAAAAACCTGCGATATTTGTTGTTAGAACACTCAAATTTTATGGGGTAATTTGAGATTATAGGAGACAAAAGAAAGGTTAGACAGAATTCCGCAAGCACATCCTTTAAATTTTTTCTCCCCGTGCACGAGAAGCTGGCCGCCGCAAGATTGCGACCACTGCATGGAAAACTTGGTCGGAGGTTTTTTCTGTGGTCTTTTATAGCGCTCGCACTCTGTGCACGCCAACGTCTGGCTGTTTCTTTACCGACATGGAAGTATGGCCAGTGCTGTGCACTGTGCGAATTCTGGTTTCAAAACATAGCAACTGCATTCAGTGGTGCTAGTGTCGCTACAAATGGGCGGCAACGCTGGTTAGCACACAGTGAACACTGGCGGTATTGCAGACAAAAATAGATTTTTCCAAAACGTCACAAAATTTTTAGACTGAAGTACTATGCTGTTGCGCCTATTTAGTGTTCAACCAACCAAGTCTATCTTCTACTGAAACAGGGTTTACAAAAAGCTCTAATTAAAAATTTAAAGAAGCTTTCAACGACACAATGGGTCTTCCTCAATTACTTGGAGACCATAAAATCAATCATTCTGAGAGCAACAGTGCTTCAAGGGTGTTTTATTAGATAACAGTGATAAAACCAACTATTACTTTGGAAATAATTATTTTAAAATCACTTGGTTGGACATAGGCAAATGAAACACTACTAAAAAACAACAATTTTAACAAGTTTCACCAAATTGTTAAAGGTTAGATTTTTTCAAAACCTTGATGACAAAATTGAATATTTGAGTTTTGAGGAACCTGTGATAACCTTGAGAAAGCACCCTGCTGATCCTGAAACCTGTCAAAACGTTTCTCCTGCACTCTTTCTAAAATCTGTGTTGTGCAGCAGTTCTGTTATTATCTAGTCACTTATGAACAATCCTCGTATTGTTTCAGAAGATTTCAAAGCTGTGATAAGAGATAACTACAAAAACGAAAAGCAATTAGCGTTACAAAGATTGATGAGACATAGTTCAAACTTCATCATTCTCACCTGAGCCAGCTGGGTTCTTGTTACAACTGTGTTGTAAGATGGGGGCAGGTTCAGCACTTCCTCAACTCCATCTTGCATGTCATCATCTGAAAGAAAAGCAAGCAGGAGAACTCAGTAATGGTTTCCGCTTTGAGGATGGGTTGTCGACAGGAATGTTATCGAGACGAACAAACATTAAGACAAACGCGGCTGACAGAGCTGGAAAAAAAGGAAATGTTCAAGAGCACGTCTAAGGCAGTAATACTGATATGAAAACAACAATGAAAAAAGTTTGCCCAAGGATGGTATCGCAGGGATAAAAAAAAAATTTCACCGAGGTTGAGAAATGCTTTTGGAACATCTCTGCAAAAGTATGAATTCTTAATCTTCAGGCACTGTTTAACGACTCCTGAAACTGTTTCCTTCTTTGTACTTGTTTTCTTGGCACAAAAATCGTAATATACCTTTGCACGTATCTCCTGCAGCAGTTGCAAACAATGCCGCGAGTCAAGTAGCGTATAGGGATCTTGGCAGTCTAAAGAAGAAATATAACAAACGTTTCCGCGATGCGGTGGTTAGAGTGGTAGTATTGTGCCATGTTTTTTTGAGCAGATGGGACAACAGCAAAATTGATTCAGTCTGCAACTTTTTTTTTTTGTTCTGCTGAGCATTAAGCATGGAACACGCAGAGCATGCAATAGCCAACTACCTGGCATGCTTGCCTGAACTTACTGGTAGACTGAGACTTTTGTAACCACTGCAGGCAAACCCATGTTTCATCCGATGATACGCACATTTCACACAGAACTTCGGAGACAGTGGCACCCACTGGCAAGCTAGCGACTGCCCTAAAGTGCTTATTCTGAGTACTCGTCAGCCAAAGTGAGCAAAACGCTGTTTCATAATCTCTCTAACATCTATGTGCAGTGATGAGAATCTAATATGATGAACTGACAGTCATTATTTTTGGGAGCTCTGTATGCCAGAGTAACAACACCAGGCAATGGTGCTACTACTAGATGCACAACACCATAAGCTGTGAGATGGCAAGTAACTAGGATTTCGTGTTTTCCGAGTTTATTTATCGCAAGATTCAGAGAGTGTTTTTCTGAGTCAATTTTTTGCTGAAAATTCGGGGTTTCTCGGAATTCCTTTTTGTTAGATTCCCAATTTTCTTAAATTCAAAATTTATTTGATAGTGTTTCTTATTTTTAAAAATTAAAAAAAAACTAAATAAATAAAGTATGGGTGCCATGACCTGTTGTCCTGGACTCCTCCAGGACAACAGGTCATGGCACCCAGACTTTACTAAAAGGCAAACGAGATTTCAAAGGAAACTGAAGTGGCATCTCCTCATGTCCACTGACCCTGTGCTCTTGTGAAGTTTACTTGAAAAACACCTTTTTTGCTTTTTATCTTTTCATTGTGACCTTGAAATTCCAAGTTTTTCTGACAAATTTGAATTGACAAAAAATTTACCGGCAAGCGTTTTCCTGATATTTTTTTTCGGATTTATCCGAAAACACGTAACCTACATTTTGGTGTTAAAGATTACCATGGCAACGAGATAGCCAGTGGCACCTAGCTCTTGATCGTTCTGTTCATTCGAACATGCTGATGACAATAATCCCCGGAGAAGGCGAACAAAGGACAAACACAAATCTCCGAACACAGTTAGGTAATAATCCCCTTCTTCAGCGATTATTGTCATTCTTGTCCAGCTCGCTGCACCTAATGGCTTGAGCATGCCAAGTTGGTCAGGTCTCAGAACGAAACTTCAGCAAACTATATGTGCCCAGGAACGGGGCTTCTACTGGAGTACTGTTGGTAAGTGGGAAAAGCGAAAAAAGTTCTAATTCCATCTGAGCGCGCTCGGCAATCCTCGGCACAATAGACCCTTTTCAAAATTTCAAAATGAAACATAGATTATGGGTGACTGCCATTAGTTGGGCACGCACTGTGAGCGAGCACGCATTGGACACTAGCGCTTCATTGGCATTTGGAGTGCATCCGGATCGAAACACATTCCACACGAGTTCTGCGCCAATGCTAGACGTGACTCGGAACCAATCGTAGGCTGCACGCCGGAAGCGACAAGACCAACTAATGGCGGCTGCGCATAATCTATGCATTGTTTCACAATTACGGGAAGGGTCTATTGGGTGCTACCAAAACTGAGCTTGCTTAGATCATCGTTTGCACACAATCGTGATGAGGCAGCACGGGAAAAAGCATGGTGCTACTTTGGCAGCCATAGCCATCTGAACGTACATTTGGGCGAGCTGGTAAAAAAAACAGCGTGACTGGGACAGGGACAAAGAAGAGAGATACACCAGATAACCCCCCCATCTCTGTTCTTTGTCCTCGTTCGAATCGGGCCGTTTTCCACCGTGAACACCCATAGCTGCTGCAGCTTGGAGCATGTGGCGAGAAAGCTTGTGCTGCAGCAGCCGGAAATTCCGAGTGCAGTTTCATCCCTGCTCGTTTCTGAATGAGCCTCGTAACGGCATGCGGTCATATATCGCTACTGCATGAGGCACACTGAAGACTCCAGGCTTGCGGTGCTACTTCACTGACTAAATTTCTCATCTACAGCAGAGACACCAGACGTCCATTGGGATTAGGGTAGAGAATAAAAACCAATATGATTTAAATCAGACCAGTTTTATACTACGATGATTTGAATCGAAACATTCCTGCAAAGATAATCACGGAAATAATTTGTATCTACCGTCTGTCTATCACTTAATGATTTCGTAATTAAATCAAAAAATCATTGAGCAAGAAAGATTTATATGACGGTAACACGAGCAAAAAGTAGCGCTCTCCTGAGCAAATCGGAGCGTTGAGGTTCATTTCTACTGCCCACCTTGTTTGTCAGCTATGTAACATACTATTAGCAACAAAATTGGAATGCAAAACGAAAAACAGAAAACAAATGCCCTATGCAATCAAGTCAGAATGCAAAAGAAAAAAACATAAATCTGTCTAAGAAAAAAAAAAATTTCTTTTTTTTTCTAGTACGGGGGGATTACACCAATAAAAAGTTGTCAATTAAACTGTACCTAAGATTTTAAGTTATTCTTTCTTCCACATCGTTATCGGCAACCGCATAAATTGATCTATCAATCTGCCATGTTGAGAAATAGATCAATAGTGGTAAATAATCACCATGTTCCAGCTTTGGCGATTTAAATCAAACTAATCCGATTGAAATCCAATAAATCCAATTTATTTTAAGAAAAAAAAATTCATCTTTTTTGCGTTTTAATTGGGGCTGACTAACTTCCCATTGTCCGAAAGCATGCAACACAATTCAACTAAAGCTGCCAAGTGAGGCGGCTCTGGCCGAAACGGAACTTGCCAGAGAGCACGGATTGGTCGCCGGATCTGGAGAGTGCGTCCGACTCTATGGAGGCCTTGTTGAAGAGGAAGATGGGGTTGGTGTCCGTGCCGGCGCTGTACTTGCCCACCGACGCACTGAGCTGCAGGCTTTCCCCACCGCTGATCAGGAGCACCTGCTTGTCGGGGGGCACGTGGCAGCGCTGCGCTATCACCTCCTTCAGGTTCTTCACACTGCAGGAACACCGGGGAGAATGGGGGCCATGTGAAACTCTCAGGGCGTCACGTCTCGCAAACCGAGGGCAAGCTACCGTGCCAGCAAAACTTGTAAAGACAAGGCGCAACGGTAACACTTCGAAGCAATGGTAACTCGAGGTTCTTTTTAGAAAAGGACGGCGAAGGCATTTTCAACAACCATTGTTTTTCGACTACAATGAGACTAGAATATTTTTTGGTTAAATGCAGGGTTCGGAGAACAGGGTCACGGAGTGAGGAAGATTGTGATTCAGAGCAATTTCACAGGTCAATAACACCGGGTGCACCATAGACACAATATTGTGTATAAACACATAAAGTAAAGAAACAGCATGCGTTTTGGTGCAACAATAAGCTTGCCTGTATTAGAGCAAAAACATATGGTTTAATATAAAAACATACCACCCTCCCCTCCCTCCCCCCAAAATAAAAGAGCAGCAAATTCGCATTTTTCTGCCTTCATCTATATATCAGAAAGACCGTCAGTGTGCCACAAAAATCAAGCAACCATTGTAGATTAAAGTTCTACACTTCTTTGATACCAAACTTCCCACTTTTACATTTCCCGACTCCTGTATGTAAATCGTTAACTTATTTCATATCTTGGTCGGAAAGCTTTTCAGCATTTGCTCCACACATAAACCTGCTTTGTTTAACAAGCAAACTTTGACTGAATCTTTACTGACAGGTGGTAAGATTTATATACACACTCCAAATACCCTAGTCCCCTTAATGTGTCAAAGCTAGGGTTCCGTATCTTCGGGGTTTGTTTTCCTTCAAATGTGGGGGTGTTTTCTTTGGGGTTAATTTTTTTTTTACTATACACACAAAATTTTTGTTTTTGTTTGTGTTTTTTACACATAAAAAACACAAAATTTTTGTGTTTTTTAGCGTCGTTTCTCAATGTCGTACAAAAAATGGGGGTTTGCCAGTGCTTATGTGGAAGGAAAGGGGACATGGGCATGGCATTCCTCTACATCCAGGGTACTTACGCGTGACTCGATACTCGAAAAACGTCTCTGTACCGATAAGAAAAAGAAGCCAGATAACATGTACGGTTCCGAAAGCAAGAAAAAGCCTCGCGGACTGTGTAAGGGGGGGCCGAGTTCCGGGCTAACACAAAATCAAGCTGTATATAGGCAAAGATTTTCTTACCGCGAGGCTTAGGGTTTTCCGAGGTTGGCTCCGATTCAAGGTTTTTAAGTTCTCCCAGATTTTGATAAAACTGGCTAGGGGTCAGTATTTTGGGTTTATCGGTATTTACCGAAAACGTGGAACCCTAGACATAGCATAATGGTAGGAAAAAAAGGTCCAAGTTTGTTGCGCACGTAAATTTAATCATTATTTTGAGATTTATTTCTCTCCGACTGCCATAACACTAAATGTTAAAACAGTGCTCCAGTTTTAATAATTCCCTCAACAACCGCAAAAAAATTGTATGTATCCCATCTGGCCTGTTTGTAATAACTTTGAGTGTGAACGGACAGCCCTGAAAGACATGTGTCTGCTTGTGTGGCAGAAGCGTTTTTATGCTCAACTTCGCAGAAAGAATATTATTGGAAGCACAAAGACCCTGGCATAGTTGAGACACACTTTAAAGCAAAAGGCTACCAGTTTATATGGTCTACACTTTACTTCTCTAAGATTAAAATAGGTACAGAAAACAACAAAAAAAAAACCTTATACTCATGCTTTTATTATTATTATTTTTTCGTAATTCAGCATTTTAAAAATTGCTGCCTAAAATGATGTGTGACTTCTGGTTGTTCTACTAATTATGATTTTAAGTATTAAAAACTATAGTAAATTTTTTTTTTTGCTTTGAATAAGTGCTAGTCTGATAATCGACCAAATGGTGCTACAAAGTGGTGCCACAAAATCGTAACCTGATATGCGCAGGCATATCAGGTCACGACGTTCCGGCTAAAATCTGCTCTTTTACGATTACCATAAGCAATCCAGTAAAAATAAAAAATACAGAGGCAAAAAAAAAAAAAAAAAAATCCCTGGGCGAAGTGATTCTAGAGAGCCTCATCACTCGGGACAATGAACGAGCAAGTGCACGCATAAGTGGTCATCGTAAAAACACAAAAAGGGACAAAGTCATCGCCACGGTAGCTTCAAAATGGTCGCCATGGTTACGGGGCAAATGCCCTTTGGACTGCCGTGCCGAAAAAAAACTTACCTTTCTACAGCGTGGTTCATATCGAAGGTCATCATCTTGCCTGTATCGACCAGGAAGACGTACAACATTTTCGCTTCCTTCTCGATAAACTGCACAATGACCTGAAACGACAAACAAAGCGATCCTTTGTCATCAGACGAGGAAAAGTCTCGATGCGCGCTAGCGCTCGACTACAAAAGAACATCACGTAAATTGACAATTATACTGCATTTCTGAGCTCAATTCATTCGTTAACTTTTGGTGTTCCGAGCGACACAATCGCACGATAATTTTAAAGGACCCACATTTTTGCGAAGCTACGAAGTTACAAGAGAAAGACCAGCGCGTTTACCCTACAAAGATGCATCCCTAGCGAAATTGGGAGCGAGCAACACAAATCCACGAACCTAAGATGTTGTGATGTTTCTGTTTCACTCTGTTGTTGAAGCCGGGTGAGCAGCGTGCTGGAACTTCTTGTTGGTACAAGCCGATATGGAGCAAATAATCCGGGCTCGCTGGTCAGCAGGGCATGCTTGTCGTATCTGCATGATGGTCCACATTTATCATTCGCCAAGATATTTTGGCGCATCCGTCCCCAGAGCGGAAATGTGCGAGTGCGTGCAGCGGCTGGTTCCTCGTTCGGGTTGCATTTGGATTAGTTGATAGTTCTTTTTTTCTTAAATATAATTTACAGATGTAAAATCCCACGTTCACCACACCTCTAGTCACCCACTGTTCGACTTCCAACAGCTGACGCCATGTTACGAACGCATCCGGCTAAATCTCGCCGCAAGCCGTCACGTGACTGAACCGACTTGTAGGTGAGCATGCGCATTAAAAAGTAGTACCATGTTTCAGCCGTTATGTATACCACAAACTTTTTAGTTTCTAGACTTATCAATTATAATTGTTTTAAAAAGAAGTTTTAGATTCAGTATGTTCTAAATACACTTTAATAATCTTTATTAAAAGTTTTAATGAGCGCGGTAGTAACACGGTGGGAGCACTGATTTTGATACCATGGCTAACTGTAGTGGGGCTATGCAAGCAGTTGTTGCCAAACAGATGACGCCAGTTGCACAATTTTATTACTTCATCTGGCTTCCCCATTAGTGCAGCCCCTTATTTGGCATGACTTGCACATGGCAAGCATCATATTTGTTTGTCGAGTGTCAGTTCGTTCAACGCAAATCAAAACCAAGAACTTGTCGCCCTTGAACATTAGCGGTGACGATCGCTATCTGTGTGCGCGACCTCGGCCCTTGGTCTGCTTAGCTTCCGTCAGGCACGTCAGGCCCCAACAAAAATAATAATAAAGACGTAAACATTGCAAGGCCCTATTGCTGTGCCACGACAGAAACTAACATTGTAAAACCTGTGTAGCTGTAAATTTATGTTTAGAGAAAAAAAAAAAAAACATATACACAAACTCGGGAGTTATGAACACGAACCAAACAACGTGCTCCAACGACTCCGCGTTGAATTGCCATAAGCATCGCCAAAATGGCTCCTGTGACGTTACGATTTTTCCTTCTCCTCGCTTCAATATTTCTTTTTAACTCCCAAGAAATCATAGTAGAACATCCCGAAACCACCGAACCGGTCGCCGAAAGTCCTCCGGAAGACTCCAGCACCCCACAAGAGCCAGCAGACGTCGTTGACAACTCTCAAACGGCGCCCAACGTGGACGACCCTGTCGCCACTGCCGCGATTGTCCCAGTCCCCGCAAATCCGGGCAACTTGACCATAACGCGTAATGAATCTAACCCAATCAACTGCACGCCAATCGTTCGAGACACCGACGAGCCGAACCGACTGATCGTCGTCAACGGTACGGCCCTCCTTCAAGAACTGACGCCGGCCGTGAACAAGACCAACAGCACGGCCGGGGATTGCGTCGTTGTGACGTTTTACTCGCCCTACTGCAACTTCTGCGCCCGGACGGCTCCGTTCGTGAACGCTCTGCCGAGCGCCTTTCCGGGCCTCAAGTTCTACGCCGTGGACGTGGTTCAGTCGAGCCAGATCAACATGCGGTACGGTCTGGTCGCCGTGCCGAGCATCCTACTCTTCCACAACGGTCGAGCCGTCGCCAAGTTCAACGATTCGAGTCCGAGCATCGAAGGTCTGACCGGTTTCATTGCCAGGCACACGGGCGTGACTCCCGATCGCCCGTTGGTTCCGGATTCCAGCGGCCCCATGTCGGATGTGCCGCTCGAGTTTATCGACTGGGTGCTCGTGTCTGCTTGGGTCTTCACGGCGGTGTGTTTGATCGGAGCCTTTCTGAGGTCTGGCCTGTGCAAGCATATGACCGCGAGCGTGCAGAACGCGTGGCGCGAAGCGCAGCACCAGCATCAAGACTGAGCTGTGCCGGTGGATGCTAAGACGTGGCGAAAATAACAATTGTTGCGTGCCATACCCATGGTGATGGACAACACAATAGGAATCCATTAACACCTTCTTTTCCCTTAGACCTTGGCCCTCATAATGACTGTATGTGCGAGTGATTAAACGTGAGAAGCCACTCGCTTTTCACATATTTCACATATTGCTGCAGGGCAGCCGCACTGAGCCATGCGAGAAGCTGGTTGAACATTCCAGTTTGTTTTGTCCCCGATTCTGCCGTTTTGCACAAAAAGAAACTACAGTTAAGTGCACCCACATGTTGCCTTCATGTGGCACTTTAGGGGCCCAATTCATGGTGCAAAGCGTGGAACATGATAATTATAAGGCCATCTGCTCACTTTCGCCGAGTTCTCCGACAAGAATGGAGTTCACAAATGTTACTGGTGGTGTGTGGAACCTCAATGTGCTTGACGCAGCGACATTTGCATGGAACTTAAGTGGTGATCAAGAACTTGCTTGGTAGCACTAGGTGTAAATGAATATGGTACGTGATGTGGTAACGTTTCCAGCGACCTTAGGCTATTGTTGCTGTTTCCACCTTTTCACAGAAGTATGATATCAAATAAATTAGAAAAAACATGTGAAAGGGACAGTGAAAAACGTGGCAGTTCTCTTCAGGCCCGCTTCAGACAGGGCAATTTCGCCCAGCAACTTGACGTCGCAATACCAGCAACACGAGCTGCCCTCGTTCACACGCAGCAACCAATTGCTGCAATTTGCCATCATGAAATTGAATTTTCTTGCACTATTTAGACACACAATTACGTGCTGTAAACGTGTTTTTATAAATTTAGATAACGTTAAGAATACTAACTCATCTTTCTAAAACAGTTTATTTCCAAAAACTATCAATTTCAAACCAGAACAAAGTCTTTAGTTGTCATCATCACCAACACGGGGTATCACGTGAAAATATTGCGTTCCTAATTGGCCTGCTGTCGCTTCAAACATCTTCAAGTTGCTCAGAGTTGCTCGATTGTTTCGAGCCAGACCCATTCTCAGCAATTCGTGTTGATCTAGCGGAAGCTAGGGGACAACTTGCCAGGAACACCAGAATTGCTGAGAAAGTTGTCCCGTCTGATGTGGGCCTTAGTAATCATTCACTCCTGCTTTAGCCACAGTGGGCTGGGGATATTGATAAATGAAAAAAAGGTGTGTTCACACTCACACTTTTACGACAGTCGTGCGACCAGCTAGCGACCACCGACGTTGCGGACAATTGGCGAGTCGCTTCTCCGAAGCTCTCGGGAACCTCCGTAGATTCCGTCCCCGCCACAGCTCGGGTTCGCGTTTCGCTGCTTTCCCAGTTTCGTTGTCTCGTGTGTCGTTTTCGCCACGAGAGAATGACTTCCAATATTGACCTGGGTCCTTTGGAATCGTACAACAAAAGCGAAATTGCTACACTGGCGTGCACTCGCTCGAGCTTTCACGGTACAGTATGCAAGTACCTGTCTAGCCAAAAGCCATGGATCTGCTGCAAGGCCAAGTTCCTTCTCTGGCGGTCGTTCAAATAGGTGTGCGCTTGTTATAAAGAAATGGGTACCCTTTAATAGCACTGATTGGAGCGACTGCACAGACCTCAATGGCCCTGTATCCGTGGTTGCTACCGGCAAGTGGCTTCTCAGAAGCCGTTGTCGATGCCGTTCATCCCCACAGCTTGGGTTCGCATTTTGCTGCTTCCCCAGTTTTGTTGTCCCACAGCTACACATGTGTCATTATTGCCACTAGAAGAGACCCATTACATTGGCCCGGGCCCTTGAGAACAGTACAATGAATTACAATCACTACATCTGCGCGTATTTGCTCAAGCTACTACCCCTACTGCGTCGCAGTGCGTACCTGTCGAGCCAAAAGTGGCACGGATTGGCTGTGAGGCCGAGTTCTTCCTCGGGCGCTCAGTCAAATCGGGGTGCCGCTTTTATAAAAGAAAATTTTTACTCTTCAATAGCGTTGATCAGAGCAGCCGCAGAGACCTCCGTGGCTTTGTATCCATGGCCACTACTAGAGCCCTGCGCAGATAACTGTTTGACTATCCGCATCCGATCCGCATCCGCAGACTTTGTATCCGCATCCGAACCACATCCACAAACTTTTTACATTATTGTATCCGTATCCGATCCGCATCCGCCTACTTTGTATCCGTATCCAAACCGCATCCGCAAAATGTGGAACCACATCCGACTCACAATCCAGGTATTCATTGTATATCATGATGTCATGCTTGAATGAAAAAAAAAAATACAAATAGCACTTTTTAGGTTGTTTGTTTATCTTTGTACAAAGAAATCTTCGGGTCACCATTCAAAGGGGATGTCATTTTATCATTATCAGTTTCATCGTATTTATATTAAAAGCGATCAGCCTTCCCGAGACACTGCGCGTCGAAGGAAAAATGATCTTAATTATGTGATCGTCCTAGAAGTCCGCAACACTCTGTCCAGAAGAAGCGCACAAAAAGGATTTTTTTTTGCTTTGTAACACCAATTTTATGCAGACGCATACTTTTGACACATAAAAGTTAAAAAAGGGCATACTAAATTGTGACATTTTAGTTCCGTCAAACAATTAAAAAGTAAGAGAGGTTCATATTCGTCTGGCTACGATGCCCTGGCGTCGTAGTTGGACGAATATGAACTACAAGACTTTTTGGCTAGGAAGCATACAAAAAAGGAACACTCAGGCAGTTTACGTGCTGCTTATGTGGGTGCGCTGTTGATTCCGAAGCTTTACGAACCGTGGCGCCACAGGGTCGCACTCGCTATCGAGGCACTTTTTTTTTTCGGAATCATGACCTCTTTGCGGGGTGGGAGAGGTTTCTTCTACTTTTTTATGACTTGTACGTTTGAGGTTTTCTTTGCCCGGAGAACCTTTTTCGCTCTTTCCCTGCCAATTACTAGCTTTCTCGAAACGATTGATGCCTTGCATTTTTTTACTTTTTCTATAGATGGCATTTTTGACGAGATGGAGTGCACTAACTGAAGCGATCTTCAGTGGGAATCAGATCTTTCTTGGGATCCCTATCGTTTCTTCGAAAGCGTTTTGTGGAAATACGTTTCGTGGACAACTAACTTTTCATGGGCATACATTTCATGGACACACGGTTCGTCGACGTACGTTTTGTGGGCACATATGCCTGAGACGTTTTCTCGACAACCCATTTCTTCACTAAGCCGCTAAAAGCTAGCGCGCGATTCACTAAGGTGTGCTTAACCAAACCATATACCCCTCTCCCCTGCAATCCAGGCGAGACGCAGAGTTTGTTACGAAAATAGCAGGGTTGTGTGCGACGAAACAAACCCAGGAAGCCTTTCGATCAAACGTTGCATGTCGAAGAAACAATCTCTAGATGGAACGTCAGTCGGCGAACGGAACGCAACCGGGCAAAAATTTAGACCCGGATCCGCGGATATCCGCAATCCACCAATATTTGTCTAATTTTTATCCGCATGCCAGTTTACTGCGGATATCTGCGAATAATTCGCGGATATGCGGGGCTCTAACCACTACTGCCAACCGAGGTGTTGGACGGACATGCTGGTTGCTTCTCCCACAGAAGAGCGGTGTGCCAGATATAAACAAGTGCGAGGCGCACCAGACATTGCTTTTGCGGCAGCGCCGATTGGTTCAGCCGCCGAGCAACTTGGCGACAGGTCTGAAAACTCAGTCTGGAAGCGACTGCTCCAAACAGGTCCCTTTTGCGACAAAAACTGTAGCGTGACTTGCAAGTGTGAACGCGCCTTAACGGTAGCTTGCATGCGGGAGTTACCCGAGGATATGTGCGCATGCAGACGAGAAAGTGTAGAATGTACAGCAATAATAGTTCTGGTTCTCTCATCAACACTTGCACAGCATGCAGACATTTACTTACCACTGCCAAGTGCTTCCAACAGGAAACAATCGTCCTGTTTTCTGTTGTTCACAAACATACTGAGCCTTCATTGGTTGGCGGTATGCCATTATGGCTGTGCTCAATGTGGTGCAATTTTTCCACTGAAAGAAGCTCCAAACGAGTAAAATTTCGACAACAGCTCTGCATTTATACTTTCTCTTTGTACAATTGTACATCATGCACACTGAAAGTGTACCAAACAAAAACACACTCAAAAGAGGGGCACTAAAAGAAAACAAACCAATCGCCATGCATTCTTTATCTGCCCAAACAAGCAGGAACCAGTGTTGCCACCATACGGTATTCAAAAAAGGTAACAAACCACGGCAAAGACGATGGTGAAAAAGTTCACAAAACAAATAAATACACTTTGGTCTTAACACTTTACATTAGCCCTACCGATAATCTCCCAATCCACAAAGCGTAACAGTAGTAAGGCACGACGTCATTAGCCAGGCAAGAAACCGTTGGCTTATCAGATACACGGCAGAAGTCCTTATGGCATTACTTGGGCAGAAAGCCATTAGCTGACTATAAAGTTCCCAGTTGTATCAGGAATTCAAATTACCAACTGAATCAATGGCTGCAGCGTGGCTTCTCGGCAATCAAGTCCTTGTAGGTACCGCAAGCAGAGTTCATAATTGGGTCAATGGCCACAGGTGACTTCCCGGCAAGGGCGTCCGCGTTGCTCGCAAGTCGTTAGCCAAATCACAAATTTGCTTTGAAGCAGCAGCCATTCAAATAATGAATTATGGTGTAGAATGAACATATACGTTCTGTGTTTGCAAAGCAATGCCGCAGGACTCAGTTCAGCGGTTAGCCAAGTCCACAGTTCCCATTGTAGTTCTTGTCTTGACCTGCCCGGTACGGTAACACAAAGGTTCTTCTACATGGCATCAAAGTGGAACTGATGTGCTTCTTGCAGCTTGACTCTGCGGTCTTCACGTTTCTCCAACCAGTGGAAGGCCGCAATGATGAGTGAGATGAAGACGCACGTTCCTGCCAGGGCAATGAATGTCAGCAGCACCTGCACACGTGACGGAGAGGACGGAGGAATCAGACAAACCGTTGAGCAAATTTATTATTCTGTGTTGCGCGTCATGCAGGTGGCACACTACTGGGGATGCTATGGCACCTGGCGTGTGTGCCACATCCTCAAATATGGTCCCTCGATTTCTGCCTTATGATGTCATAGGAGTGTCATGCTGTTGCCCGCCATGATCTTGGCAGTGGTAAAGCGGTGGATGTGTACTTGGCAGTATTTCAGTGTGGCTATTAATGTCCAAGAAAGAGATCTACTCCACCAATACATCTATCATCTCTCTCTCTCTCTCTCTCTCTCCCTATGACTCTCTAGACATCAACTCATTGCTTATAAACGAGGTAAATTTGTCCACAGGAGCTTCGCGCACAACACATGGAATGTTCATGGTGCGACATTGAAAATAAGTTGGTGCATTCGTTGATCGTTTTGGATTCTTCAAGATACACTACTGACAAGAAAAAAAGTATGGGTTCTTGAGTGCGCAGAAAGTCCTTCATGTGAAGAATTTTTTTTAAATCTGAACAGATTTTTCTATCACCAAACAACTCGCTTATTGCTGTGTTGATTTGTTTCCTTAAAGGGACACTGAGAGCTCAGAATAAATATACTTTTTTTCATTACCCAAAACGATTGAAAACAATGCCTGAACAATACCCTCGAAATTCGAAATTTGGGAACTCAGTATCTGTAAAGTGAAAATACAATTTTCAAAAGCCGAACTTGAAGTTCCCGCGCGATCCGCGCCGGTGCAGTGACATAAGAATTTAGTCGTCCTGCAACGTCTGCCCGCTCCCCATGATCAACCGCTGCCTATCGCTGTGAGCAGACGACGCTTCACTTTCGAGTTTGAAGTTATTTTAGGGCTCTATCAGCGATCTCAAATTCTTTGAAACGGTGTAAGGTCAAAGAGAATGCGCAGTGGGCTTTTATGAGCGACGTGAGGGGCCGTCGCATCGATTATGCATGAAAGGCTGTCCCAGCGGAGTCACAGGTGAAACTACGGTACAAAGACACTAAACCCAGTTGTTTTGGCCATTTGACGATTTCCTTTTCGAAGTCTGGGAGGTCGTCGGGCACCAAAAAAAGAGAACTTCATCCGATTCCCCAATCATCCTCAGTGCTACATGCGTCGAGCGCCGCCATGTTTTCCCAGGGAGGATAAGAAGCCAGGAGGCGACATCACTCCGGACTCCGATTTTCGGTATTTCAGAAAGAAGGGCCATAGTGCGTTTGGAATTGCATTAAAAAACATGTTTTATGAATGCCATTATAAAACATTATAAAAATGTCGCTTACAAAGCTTTTAGATTTCATAACTGATTATGTCACAAATAAAAATAGGCAAGGTGGTGAGGAGCGGGAGGAAGGCACCAAAAATAAAAAAAGCCCCCACGATCGTGGCAAAATTGTTTTTGCGCTCTGGTACTTTTTTGAGTGTCTATGACTACAACTTGCATCGTTTTTGACAACAAAAACAAATACGACCTTTGGAGCATCAGTGCCCCTTTAAGAGACAAACTGTTTAGAGCTCCCTAAGGTGGTTGTCAGTAGGCGATTTAAGTTCTAAATAATAATAATATAGAACGAAGACACCTAAGAAGGGTCTGAACACAAAAACTGGGCAAGAACTGTAAGAACGTCTATTGGAATCTCTGGTGTTAAGCACACATATAAGCTTATATATCCACCAGACATCTACCCTAGTTTTCGAGAAAATCATGACCTTGGGGCAAACGTTTCTGCCTGACATTTTAAGAAACCCCTTTCATAAACTACGGCAAGCAGCGTGTCTAAATATTTTACGACAATGCATCACGACCACTCTTCTAATTTTAGCATTATCCTTAAAAGAATAAAAAAAAGCTACTATATGTGAAAATTCTCGGAATGATAACCGAAAATGAGTCGTTATATACTCTGAGGAATTTTCCGTAAAATCCCATTAGGGTGCCCACCCAAAATGAAAAGATAAATTGTCAAAAACATGAGGTGGGTCATCTTTTGAGATGAGACAGCAAAACTTTATAAAAAAAATTATTGATAAACATAGGGGCACCCGCTACATACCATGCGACAGTGTAAATAATACCACAAATCTCGGACAGGGTGAATTCGCGTTTCACAATGTGATAAATACGCGGGAATTCGCTACAAACTCCTGTGTCACTGCAAAGAATACCGCGCACTGCGGATGCAGCAGGTTTGTGTTTCACAATGCGATGAACACGCGGAAACTGGCTACAAGCTTGCAGGCTACGAGAACCGAAATCGCTTCTGTAGATCCCAGACAAAAAATGCGGGAACTCGCATGTCATGGAAACTGACATTACGCAAACAGATCACGGACATAAACGCGGGAACTTGCTGAGAACTCACTTGTTACATGCACCGGTACCGCAACCCGCGCAATTGATGCGATTCCCGTCAGACATAGTGTGATGTCCGACAGGAAGGGGGGGGGGGGGGGGGGGAATGTTTCGGAATTTTTATGTTTGGGATGTTTGGCCAGAAAAACGGGACAGGTGATCTCTCAGGGGAGGGTGCGCTTTCGGGATTTTATAGAACTTTCTCGCCTGAAAGAAGACGAGAAAATTTCGGGATCAAGACTATAAGAAGCAAACGACCGGCAGTTAAAGAACCAGTTCAAGGACAATCCGTTTAGTGTGGTGTGTAACGTGCGTGACAGACCGTGGCCTCAGGCAAATGAGAGCATGGGCGTCCTAAATGCCACGCACTTAGAACGCGTTCGCCTGCAAGACAGCAAATTTTCCCTTTTTAATCCTTGCTCCTCAAGAGCCAGGTCTTGCGCCATTCGTGTGCCTTCAACTCAAGCCAAACAAGGAGGGCACAAGGTGTAGGTTCCAAACCTGTCGTCCGGGCGTGACGAAGAGCTTGTTAATCCACTGGGACGGCTGGTCCGGTGGGTGCGGGATGATCACCATTTGCGAGTTGGGGATGATCTGGGTCCACTGGTGGTGCACGCTGGGATGCTTGGTGCTGGCATTGTTCGGGAAGGCCACGGTCAGTACGTCCACAAAGTTTGGCGACTGGCCCAGCCCAAAAACGGTATAGGGCAGCTGGAGCGAGAAGTGGGCCGACTGGTACAACTGGCTCGTGCAGCTCTCCTGGGAAAAGCAGTCGATCAATCGGACAAATTTATCGTGACAAGTTTATATTGTCAATGCCTGTTCATACACTTGCATTTGCTTACGACCGAGTTCTGGAAACGCCCAGTTTAGCGAGGAAATTTTTCCGCTAGATCTAGCGAGGAAATTTTTCAGCTAGATTTAGCGGGGAAATATTTCCGCTAGATCTAGCGAGGAAATGTTTCAGCTAGTTTTAGCGGGGAAATTTTTCTGCTAGATTTAGCGGGGAAATTTTTCCGCTAGATTTAGCGGGAAATTTACCCATAATGCACCGCGCGGTTACGCCGACGGCGACGCCGCTCAAGCGGGAAACGGGCGACTAAGAGCTGCGCTCTAAAAAACTGCTCATGCATTGACCGTTTAGATCTGAAAGAAATGAAAAAGCCAAAGTGCAAATTTGCTACGATGCCACTAAAAAAAAAGAAATTAGAAACAAAGAAAGATATTTTGGACTAAGAAAGCCCACAAGATACAAAAAATACTGGGGATTCCATCAGCATAGTGGGACAGCTGCCAACAGGCAAGAAAACGCGGGCAATCCGGTCACAGGGTTCAGTCAACGATCAGTATGATTGTCTTTCCCTTTCCTTTTTGAAATCTTAAAGGGAAAAAAAATGCCCTGTGACTACCCAAGATAAGCTGTCTTTTATATTTGTGTAAGCGTCCCAATGTTTACCACGTAACTGCGATGTGACAGCGTCTTTCATGTAAATTATCAAGGAAATCAAATGCACCAACACCTTCCCAGGGCAACTTTGAATTTAAGCATAGCCTCCTCTATACTCACAAAGCCTGGCAGTTCGACGACGGAGCCATAGAACGCCCGATCACAGATTTGGAACGTGAGGATCTGGTAGCACAGAGCATCAAAGAGCCATTTCTCGGGGAACCTGGACGTCAGCGCACAACTTTTGCAGCAGTGAGGACCCGAAACACACTTGTTTGCTCGGGAGAAGTATGTTTCGGCGTCTCGCTGCAACGAGGCGCCAGTCACGTGGTTCTCCTCTCATCCGTTGTCTGCTGCTTCACCTTTTCCATTTCGGCAGCCACCTCTCGTGGCGATCTGCCAGGCTTTGTCAGTATAGAGGAGGCTATGATTTAAGAGATGAGGCACGCCTTGTCCCCACACCAGGCCGGGCCCAGGCCGCGCCCAATCAGGCCGGGTCTGGGCTGGGCCTCAAAAAGTAGGGCTATGCAGTGCTCTAAACCAGACTACCTAAATCAGGCAACCCCCGGCTCCCACAGCTAATCAGGTCACGACCGGTGTCATCAAACTAACCATATTGCTGCTGAATTTTCTTCTTCATTTGTAACCAGGTGCTTACTAAGGCTAAGGAAGAAAGCGGCGACCCAGCATTCGCTGTAGCGCGCCGGCGTCGCGCTCTATGCGTAGTTTTCACCAACCAGTTGCTTACTCGAGGAAATTGGAGGGCTTCCATAGAAAAAAAAACTTTGAAGGACGCCCCCCGAAAAGCGCCTCGGGTGAATTTCAAGCCTGCAGATCAGGCAGGGATCTGTTGGCCCGCAGGTTACCTCGGGGAAACCTACGGAGTTGTGCACGGGAGAGGCTCTGTGCGGAAGTCGAAAGAGCAAGATATGCAGCCGAGACCATCCCCAAAGAGATTAATCGGCGCTTTAAAAGAGAGTCGTTTGTGGCACGATCGGCTAAGTAAAACTCCAGTGCAATTTTCACTCCACTTCACAAAATTGATGTCTTGAGCTATTTATATTTATTGCTTCAAACCTATGGGGGTGATTTGGGTTCTACATTCGTAGAACCTTCTAACTTAGCAGGCTCCAAGGTTAGAAAATCGTTGAATTCCCTAGCGTACAAGTTCGAAAGTTAGAAAACTGTTGAATTTTATGGCACAAAACACTTTAAAGTTTAAAAACAATAAAATTTTTTATGACCAAAATTCCAAAGCTTGAAAATCGTTGAATTTTTTATCTAATAAATTTGACATTTCAAGACCTTTCGAACCCCTTGGTTCGACCTTTGAACCTCAGGTTCAAAAAAAGTTTGCAGCATCTCTATTCGAAACACACCAAGGCTCAGCTGTTCTTCCAAAACTTTCCGAAACACCTGTTTTGGGACCGAACCCTGTTTCGGAAAAAGGTTAGCCCCATCACGAACATTCAGCAAGGTTTGGTAGCGCCATTTGTCGTTCTGCGCCAACGGTAAGTGTCGGAACCTTTTCTGTTTTTTTCATATGCAAATCGGCCGCGCATGAATTTAGTTTTGGGTAGTCTAGTGCGAATAGAGGATTTTGAGTCCGAAGCGAATTCGAAGCGAATAGCGGTTTTGGCCGAATATTTTCGATTCGAATATCGAATAGTTTTCCTACAACTTTCACTACCATTGCATAATACTTAGACAAAAACCCAGCTAAACCTGTAAAGGTTATTCCACTTTTTCATTCATAAGCTAAGCTTAATCTATCTATATTTATGAACTGTGATCTCAGAAGGTGTGGTGTCTTGGGATGGCAAGTAAACGACGGATTTGACATAAAATGAATCCTATATAGATGGCCAACTATACCAATTGAGTGAATTTACAAATCTTGATATATAAAATATTCTTTCTTTAATCTCAAGTTAAAAAAGAATGAGTCGCGCATGATGAACACAGGTTGTAACAGCATTTCTGCTTAACATAGTATACTCTTCCGTAAAAGTTTAATTTTGAAACTTTTACTACAATGTAGATATACACATTCACAAAGTTTCCATTTATTTTCAAATACAGTCGGCATGGGTGCACTATCCCGCTTTGAATGTATGCTTTTCTTGAGCACGCAATTACGATTTTGTTTATCGCAGCAGGTTACCTCGTTAAGTGCGCTTCTTAGCGAGCACCGATGTAATGCGGACAAGCAACACCCGCAGACCTCACCTCCGCAGATATTGCTTCTCCGCAGCGCACTGGTGCTTGGTAAGAAGCACACTCAACGGGACTAACCCGCCGTAATCAACACTTCGAAAAACGCGAATAGTGCAGTTCTTTTCGAAGCGAATATTGAATACTGTATTATTCAAAACTACTATTCGAAATTTCGAATATTCGCACAACCCTAGTTTTGGGTTTATTAGGATACTTAGAGCTCATAGATTGAGTTATGACCTTAAAGTAGTATCTCAAAAAGCACTTTAGTGCCCCTTTAATATAAAGCATTTTTACTACCATATATCAGTATGTTGGGAGCTTGCATGCAAAGGGGCTACACCAGTCGCACAGCCAGAGGGGAGGCTTATGGAACTTCAGCTCCTCCTCCTCCTCTCCTCCCACCTCCCCCCCCCCCCAACAAAAAATCCAGCTGCATTTTGACCTTCCCCTTTCTCCTCAGCAACCTAAGTCATGGACATCCCAGCATACTTGGGTAGTAATTCAATTACAGTAATTGAATTACTGTAATTTAATTACTTTTCCTGGTAATTTGTAATTGTAATTCATTACTTTTGGCTAAAAGGAATTGTAATTGTAATTTAATTACTTTCTAGCATCAGTAATTGCTAAATTTCAGGCACAATTACAATTACTTTTGCAATATTTTGCGGCGGCGGCGCTTTTCCCCCTGACCACGGAGACGACAGTACAGCCAAAGCGACAGGGGAGAAAGTGTCTCCCAACCTGCTCAAAAAAAGGGAAAAGAAGGATGGGAAAGAGAGGTTGGGATAGATCGGAATGAAGGGTTTTGTAAACTGTAAAACGATTTAATGAAGAATTTGAGAAATAATTTGATAAATGAGGGCTACATTCGCGTCCATTTTCCTTCCTGTCGTAGTTGAATCTGACTCTTTGTCTCGTTCGCTTCCTGTTGCTCCTGCTTCTAGGGGTCTTTCTTATTTCTCATTCCCATACGGGGGCATCGGGGGCCGAAGTCGAGCTGGTTGGCTCCGATCACATCATCCGGTCGATGCGGGGAGGTTCGAGGTTCTCCTTACGCGTCTTCGCCGCTAGCATATTCGCTTAGATATTTCAGTCAAGGGTGGGGATTTTTATTGTCCAACGAAATTATTCTCTTTTCTTGAAGAGTTTTTCTCGTCCTTCTCTACTATTTCGTATGTTGGTACCACTAACAGTAAGTCGTGCTACTTTAACATCGAGGCGAAGAAGCAAAGAAGCAGTAGGTCTCGTTAACACGACTCACCCTGCCTTACTTCCAACCGTTGTTGCTGCACTACTCTTCCTTCTCCAAATCCGCGTCTACCTTTTTGTATAAACTTTAATTATTTAGTGTTCGCTCTAACCCCTAACCCTTTCAACCGTTTGTCAAACTGATTGGACGAGATTCCGAAACTTAGAAACCGCGGCTTTAGACTGTAGGGAGATTGTTTTTACATTTGGTGTTCCTTGAAGGCTTTTTTTTTTTCTTTTTTTTTTATAGGGGGCTCGGCTTGCACTTTGTTTTTACACCTCTATCGTGACCCTCCACGCGTTGTCCTCTCGTCATGGCCTGTGGAACCGTCCCGAGGCGCGCAGTGCCGCTTTGCATTGAGAACCTGCAACAGTCTTATCTACAATGGAAAAGGAAAGGCTGCCTTGGCCTTGTTACGGAATTTTTTTTTAAACAGATTAGCAGCAATGTAAAAAATATAATTGTAAGGTGCAAACTCTCCGCAATGCCTCTGAAAATATATTCAACACACAGAAACGCGACCTCCAATTTCCGGAAACATTTTCAGGTAGGCAACTTTTATGTCACTTTCCATAATACTTAGAGTTATAAAAAATGGCTCGTCTATGTCTTCCAGCTGAAACACGCTCAAGTAATTCCTAAAATCGAGGTGTCCAAGAGGTCGGAGTTTTGGAATAATTCGCGGGTTCTCATTTTCGCGACACGGTGGGATCGCAATATAGATTCCAATGTGTTCAGAATAGTTCGCGGGACCTATTTTTTTGCGAATTGTAGGCAATTCGCGTAAATGAAGTCGTTTACAGTAAATCGTGAACTTTTCGAGGTTGTTCTTGCCATACCAAATTCAAATCTTCATGAGACGCATAACATCGATACAATCATTGCTATCCTAACGATTAGCAACATGAGGATCCTAAATTTATTATCTATTTCAGGAGCTTTTTGGGTGTTACCGTGCACTGAATGAACCCAGAATCCCTGGCAAGAGAGTAGCTGCTATTGTGACACTAGTTTCATGGAAGCGACCACAGTTCGCGTACAACGGTTGCCCACATCTGGCATGTTACAAGTCCACAGACAGAGAGAGGCAGCGAATCATCGTGGCTGAAATGTTTTCTTAAGTTGTCGTATTCTTTAAATGATTGGCGTCGCTTACAAGTTTCTCTTATCAGCCATTTTTTCGTGAGTTTTATGATACCAGTACTGTCGCATATTTGTTTCCTTGTATTATTTTTAAGTTTAGTTTTTTTGTTGGTTTGACTTGGATACCATTTGCATAAGCACTAGGCAAGCTCACCGCGCACCTGCGAATTTTGTCGCCATTTATTTTTATATATTGAGAATATAAGAACGCAGGAGTTCATCACTCCAAACTATTACTTTCTACAATTCATCTAACAAATTTCATAAAAGAAAAGTACAGTGCGTGACATTTATACGGCGGCCATATAATTTGTTTAAAGTTAAATGGCCCAAGGTGGGTAACTGTCAGAAATAAGTAATTGTGAAGTAATTGCATTACTTTTTAAAAGTAATTTGTAATTTCAATGAATTACTTTCGCGTAGTAGTAATTGTAATTGTAGTTAAACTACTTTTGGAGCAAGGTAATTGTAATTGTAATTAAATTACATTTTGAAAGTAATTTACCCATGTATGCATCCCAGCCCCCTCAGCCCCGCTCCGAAAAAAATATTCCTGGATACACCACTGGGCTACACTACAAATAAAGTTGCAGTGGGCTCAGATTCCTAGTGCAAAAACTTTAGAATGCTCACATAACAAACAGGTAATGATTCAGCAACAAGATACTATTAAAAAAAAAAAGGCTTGACTATAAGCAAGTTCAGGTGAACAGAAAAAGCATGAATAAGTAAAGCAGGGTTTCTTCGGGGAACGCCTGTCTCTCTGGAGTGGGAACCGAGGAACCTCTCCTGTTTGCGGCATTCACGCAGTGAAGCAGTTCACAAGGCAAAAGACCTTGTAGAGAATAATGCGCATAATAGGGAATGTTTGCCACATGTCTATGAATGAATGGATGGCTCAGATCCTCTAGAATAGCGCTTTAACTGGGGGAACATTTTAGTTACGGGCAAGGGCGGCCAATAAAGTTTGGGAACTCGAGGAACCTGGTCTGAAAATCCATGAAGTGAGTAAAAGTTGTAGTAAGTTCTAAGAAAAAACCTAATACAGCAAGATTTGTTTTGTTCCTTTAACCCTTTGACGGTCGTCACAGTATGTGCACGGTGATGATTACACATTTGAAAATGACCGCCTAAACACGAAACTGCGTGCCAAGGGCATAACCTATTTGTTACGCCTTTGGCGAACTATAAACGTTATCACACGTTTCGCATTGCTGGGCTATTTATAGTTTTCAGATTAGATGCTCACTGCGCATACCGTCCACTCTGGCGATAGTGGCAATGGAAGCACTGGCTCTTCTGATTCAGACTTGACGTTTTTTCTAAATAAATTCCGATGATGAGAGCTTGTCATCTGACCAAGAATCTCTGTAAAGTACCTCTGGTTCAAAATATGAAGCCACAAGAATGTCGAGGAAGTCCACGCACCAATATAAAACGTAAAGTGACAACTTTTCACTTTTAACACTTTCTTTTTCATGCTTCTAAACCTATACAGCTTGCAAGCACTGTATCTGCTCCCACTAGATAAGTAAGAAATAACCTGCGCATCAATCCTTTTTATATATTATTGCTTCGAAAATAAAACCGAAGCACTGAAAAACATCTTTTGGAAAAAAAAAAAAAAAAACCGAACAGCTTGACCGCCAAAGGGTTAAATAAATTTACGACACCGAGAAGCGCGGACACGGATGGCCAACCGCAAATGCTAAAATGCGACCAGAGGTCATCCTGGTGATAGTTACAAAATTGCAGGGGGGAAGCAAATTGGCTTAGAAGGTGAAAGAAGGAATCACACTTTTGGTTTTTCGATTTCTAGGCTAGGTGGTGAAAGCTACCGCCCGTTATAAGTGTACAGCCGGTAGCATCCATCCATCCATCAACCACTCACCTGCGGATAGCCGTCTGACGTGATGATCCGGTAGCGCACAAACGGTCCCGGCTGGTTGGTCCCATACGCGATCTGTCCTAGAGGGCAGTTGGCGTAGCACAGCCCACTCACGGCCAGCACCTTGATGAAGCAGGCGTCATCGCTGAACTGGTTCCTCAGGGCGTGCGTCCTTAGCCCGTCTTCCTTGGTCCCGTTGGTCAGCAGCACGTCCATCTGGCCGTCCTCGTCAATGTCGAAGAAGGCAGCCAGCCTGACAGAGTCGAAGGTCGCGAGGGCGCCGTAATTCCAGTAGGGGACTAGCTTACGCCCGAACGGGCAGGACGGGCAGCGGACGTTTAGGAGGAGGGTGGCCCTCCTCACCGGGCCCTTGCGGTCCTTGGGCCGGCCCTCCAGGACCGCCAGGAAGTCGGGGTAGCCGTCCATGTCCACGTCGGCGGTGCGGAGCGCCGTGGGCACGGCCAGCCGCGTGCCTTCGGCATCCCTGAAGAACCGCCAGACCTGCGGCGATGTCACCGCGTTGGGAACACGTCTCAGACTGGTGTGTCCAGAGGTACTGGTCGAACATTATGAAAAAAAATAGCGCACAAAAAGACGAGGGCGGGGACAAGAATCCTAATACCTTCAGAATGGCGTGCCGAGCCTCCTATTCCGCCCAGGCATTAAAACGGCCCCAAAGCGGCAACAGATGACATTACAAAAAGCCGGAGTCGTGCTGCCAGACGTCGCGGTTGCGAGAAAATGTGAGCATTGCCGTCGTCGCAGCGTCCCGACTCACGGCTGCCAAAACTACCGTGGACCGTCGAGTGACCCACGGCAGAACCGGCGGCTGTAACGTCCCCCACCGCTACTCGGATGCCGCCAGGGTCGTGGCCGGGGACGGCATGATGCTTTTCTGGTGTCGTCGGGCGGAAATCGAGGGAACACATTTTTGGATGCAGTAGAAGGATCAGTCGGAGACACATTTCAGGCACCACGGTGATGTCGATTCGTATTATATTGTCTATTTACCATATTTTTCGGACAACAATCCACACCCAGTGTGTAGATCACAGGGGCACATTTTGGCTGAAAACTGAGCGTTTCTCCTCAGATAGCTTGCGCCTGGTACAATGTCCGTGTTGGGCCTTTAATTTATCCACGTCTTACTTCCGCTAAAAATGATAAATCAATGGTTCCCCGACAATGGCACTTCCTGCTGACTGATAAAATGATACAAGCATAAATTCTTCTTGCCACAGACAGTTCTTAATGACTTTAATTCAAATTCATCATAATCCTTCTGACAAGCTGCCTGCAGCACTATCGAGCAAGAAGCATAACAGTGCAGCTCTGACAGGTTTTTTGTTTACACAAACGCTGGGGCAGAAAACACTTGTTTTTTTACTCCTTGCATCAAACCCTTGCAGCCTCTCCTTCCACAATGCTACACAGAACTGTTGAGATGGAGCACTGACCTCCTTTTTGTCTACAAACAAGCACACATTTCATTACATGATACATGTGGGCACTACATGTGCGTCGAAACAGTTGCCTTTAAGGTAAATATGCACAGTGGTGTGTAGGTTCCTTCGGTAAAATTGCCACGAGCCGACTCTTTTGCGTTTTGTTACCCTTTTAACTTTTCAAAATAGAGAACCAATCATTTCTGCCACAACCATTTCATAGAAAAATTATCTCCATGCTTAACTAGAAAATGGCTGAGTGTGGGAACATTTGGAGAGTTTCAAAAACCTCTGTGAGCTAATGGCTCACCTCAAACATCCTGGATGGTACAGCAGAAGGACCTAGCTAAATGTCCAACTTCGCTGTTTCCATGGCATTTAAGCATCTTAGCATCGGCATCACAATCAAGCTTGCAATGGGCGCGTTCAGTAGCGCCCCGAAGTCAAGGAGCTAGTAACTCCTTCCACTGGACGGCCAAAAGTCACTTCCGGTGCACATAACTCCGGGGCTTCGAAGTCAAGCTCCGAAGCACCGAGTGCGGGGCTTCGAAGTAAAGCTCCGAAACACCGAGTCCAGAGACGGTGTACATAGAGTCAAAGAAGCTAAAAATGACGTCATTTCCTGACTGGTGACGATTTCCGGCGAGAAAATCCAAAGAGCTCTGGCTCGAGTCACTCCGTTCGGAGGCAAGGGAGGCGCTACTGAACACGCCCATTGGCACTAAAAGAGTAGATGTCCCTTAGACGGTAAGAGGCGACTTCTGTTTGTAAACACTACAAGGCTGCATAGGAAACAGAATGCGCAGAAGTGTACAAGCCTACACACCTGGTTACTCGCGTCGTGGAAGCCGTCAAGCCACGTGATCCACCCGCTGCTGTTGAACACGACGATAGAAGAGTTGCGGCAGTCCGACTGGCCGAGGCAGACGGGCATCACATGCTCCATGTCACCATCCGCGTCGATGTCCACGAACAGAGACTGGCCTTTCACCGCCGCGTTGCTGGGGTAGTCCCGGCGCTTGGGCCCGCTGAAAGTGCCATCCCCTGTCCAGTGCCAGAGTTCCATGGCGGACTCGGCGGTGAGCATCAGATCCGCCGTCATGTCGTCGTTGAGGTCGACAAAAGAGTTGGAGTGTGGACTTGCTAACTTGCCAAAGCCAATGCCCAGGGCGTGCGTGGTTGGGGACCGGGACGCCCCAAAGGTCCACACTGTCCGAGTCCTTGGGTCGCCCCCTGGCTTGCCGGAGAGGAGGTCGACGACGCGGTCGCTGTTATGGTCGAACAGGAGAGGCTGGTCGGTAGCGACCTGCGATAGAAAGCAGCATGAACAAGGTGAGCTGTTGGATTGACACTTGAAGAGAAACTTCCCAGAAGCCCCAGAGTGGCAGCCAACAGCTGTGGACATAGCTGAAGAAGGTAAGCCTTTTAGCTGCATGACTGCCGAGGAAGTTAAATGGAGAAGCTAAGTTTTTTTTTAGATGCATGACTGCTGAGGGACAGCTGAAGAAGCTGTCTTTTAGCTGCCTGACTACTTAGAATTTAGCTGAAGAAGCAAAGTCCTTTTAGCAGAACATTTTCTGACATGCTCAAGCTTCCAGGAGGGTTCTTCTTGTCGGCTTCGACTACCTTTCATGTTTTTTCTTCAATCAATATGAGGATTAAGAAAAAAATTCTTTTTACTCCCGTTTCCTTTAGATAATTGTTACAGCGAAAGTGTCACATTCATGGAAGAAAGTTCATGCATAGCTAACCTCCCTTGAAAAAGCGTCTTCCACACTTATCAATTTTTAAAAAAGAGTGACTGCTTGCAAAGCACGCTGTGAACATGGTATTGGTGCTTTTCTTTTGTTTTTTAGACTCGTAGTCATAGAAATTACTGGCCAACACCACATTTTATCATAAATGCAAATGACACCATAATAACTCCACAGTATGATTCTGTGTCAAGATATTCAGTCCTTCAGTTTGAGAAGAAGCACTCACTCCCAATTCTCTAAACTTGCTACTATTTTTAAAATTGGATTATGAAAAGTTTCATAAGCGGTGATTAAAATGTAGGAATGAGCAAATGGCAATGTCGTAAAGAGTATTCACCGAGTGTCATTATTTGATGCACAGCAGAAACGGTGATATGGCAAAATGCATTAGATTAGGTGCGTTGTTCATGCTGACAAGTGCAGAGGTAAGGGTATTCACAAACATGGCCGAGTGGCATTAGAATACTGCTAATTGCGCAAGGCTAGTGAAGTGAGCCATGGAATCATTGCTAACATCCATACATTGCAGCACTGCAGGGTGTATTTTTACAATCGATTTTTGTCAGTGCTGTAACGCGATGGTGAGTTCATTTTTTTACTTAGAATGCCAGAATCGACAACTCTGATTTTTTGCAGACGCTAACTGCCAGATGCCCAAACTTTCAAGTCAAGGTTCTCTACTTCGACTGCCTGGCGAGTCATCCTTCAAAATAGCGAATTTAAAGCCTGATGACACCGTTAGAAACAGGACCCGACCAGCGTGGTGCCGTTGCCGCAGTCAATGCCCAAGCTCAGCTGGCCCCAGAAAATGTGGATCTTCATGTCTTTCGATGACGGATCTGCCTTGGCCGTCACCAGAATGTCCATGATGGAGTCGCCGTCGAAATCACCGGGCATCACACTCGTGATGATGCCAGGCACTGTGCACTTGACGTCGGACTTCTGAAAGGTGGGTTTGGCTCCCGTCGCAATCCTGATGTCTAGGTTATGCATGTCGCTCGAAATAAGGAAAAGATCGGTGAGTTTGTCCGAGTTGAAGTCCCCGAACGCGGCCAGCACTCCGGTGTTGGCGCTGCCAAACACAGAGTCCGTGATGTCACGGAATGAACACACCCGCTGCAGGATTGTCGCCACCACGGTGACGACGAGCAAGCGACGGTTCATGACTGCTCGCCTTGGGTTCTGGACGAAACGCTGCAGGGTGCGGCTTTACATCACGTGCTCACGAGGCTCCCAAGTCGGTGAACTGAACATGTGGCGTACACACAACCGACACAACCAGGTAAACACACCACAGCAAATGGTTTGGTTTCTTGCGTGGACGATGGATTCTCGTTGACCAGCTTGTCCTAGGAGGATATGAAAAAGCGTAGATACATAAATTTACAATAGAGCTGTCTGAATTGGGAAGCGGCTTGCGCCATCTAGCGGGAGAAAAAGAAGTTCGCGTCATTAAATGGTGTTGACCGCTTTTTAAATTAAAACTTTGGGTTATGGTCTGTGTAAAGTAAAAAGAGCAGGACAAGCACCTCCTAAGAATCCCTTAACTCTTTCCACTTCAGCAGAGCATACGCTGGAGAAGAAGCGGCCAGTGGAAAGGAGAAAACGAGCAATCATGTCGAGCACGTTGTCCTGATTTCAGAAGTTAGTCAAGAGACAAAGAAAAACTTTATTTGAACGCATGTAAAATATGGGAAATAATTTAAAAATATATCCGTTACTTTACATGCGTTCTATTTTTTTTTTTTTTTCACGCAGCAGTTTATGGGAGAATTTCCGAGATTCGGCACCACAGCTTCGGAAGTTCTGACTTGGGCTCTGTCCAGTGGTTCTGCCACCTCAATCGCCTGTCACGATTGGATGATGACTATCATCTATTCAATGCATATTTATCGTTAATGATTGTTATTTATTGAAATTGACCCCGTAAGTGATGACGTCACAACATGGCGTCTGGGTCCAAACAAACCGTTGCTAGGGGCGTTGCTATGGGCTATTGCATGGAGACTCCACACGAGGCTAGATTTTCGCTTATAAGTTAGTAAATAATTTTTTGTAAGCAACCTAACTTCTTGATATCTAATTATGAAGATGTTCTTGTCATCTCAGTGTCGTATTGCAACGATGAAAGCCATTTCTGAAGTATTCCACTTCGCTTTGCTTTGGTAGCAGACGACACGATAGATTTGCTGGCCTCTGTTGCAGCGGGCGTCTTCATTGAATTGTGTCGGTAAACGAGCAACACAAGCAAGTGCATCGCCATGGCCGCATAGGCCTCCACAATGTGCGTTTTTTTTTTTTTTCTGTGAAGAACCCAGCTTAGTTCAGACGGGCGAAAATTTCGTAAAATCAAACCACGTCATGCAGATCAGATACGACGACGAGCTGAAGTGCATTACCGGCGTAGTGCAGGCCGGCATGGGAAACAAATCGTACGCCGTCGAGGTAAGTCGTTTGTTATTATTATTATTAATATTGTCAGGTTATTAAAATATTGCATGTCTATTGGAATTTCACAATTTTTTTTATACATTAAATTTAGTGAATGTGCTCTTTCGGTGAAGATTTCCATCGAACCAGCGATGAGAGTACAATCTGTAATAAACTCACCTTATGTTTTTTATACAGTTCTTTCGCGTTTTGGGGTTTTGCGGAAATCTGAAGAAACTGCAAGAATCTTTCTCCACGCGATAATGACAACCAGGTATGAAGCACCCTCCCATAGCGCGAGTCCGCAAACAAAATTTGGGATCTCTACCGATCGCCTGAAGTGCTTTTCTCACGGGTGCATTGCGATCTTTTAGCAGACGATTATCTCGATCGACACCCGGACTTTCGATAAACCATTTTCATATAATTTAACCATAAAGTCATTATATTTGGAACAAATGCCATATCAGAATCTCGTCTTTATTCACCCGATTCAAACGCCGGCGCCGGCTTGGCCGGCGGGCGTGTGGCAGACGGCATTCTTCCTGTATTCGTCGTCTGCTGCAGGCATCTTGAGGACCGGAAGTTGCAGTCCTAAATATTTCAGAAACAAGCAGTTACCGGCACACTTCTGTCGAAACATATATTACATTCAAGCTTTCTATATCTGCGATTTTCAGAAGTTTAAATCCTACTCCTGATTTTTGAACGGTCTGGTTTTCGTAACGAATCCTAGCCACAAGTATTTGTCCATAACAACGACCCTAGCAACGGTTTATTTGGACCCATGACGTCACACTTACGGAGTCAATTACATAATCATTTTGATAAATCCATGTCACTGCCATTCAAACCAGGGCGGAGAATCAAAATCAGTTATTTAAGTCGGGATATTATAATAAGAGTCAAACACTTCCTTCGAAGTAAACCCGAAAATATATTTTATTTACCGGTTGTTTATTTCCATGTTAATTATTTTGTGCTAAAAAAATCAACATCGACAAAAGTCTTGACCAAGCTGAACACGAGCACATTCCATATTTCTCGTAAACGCAGGTGTCACAGAAAGGAACTGGAAAAGTATGCATGTGTGCATCATGGCCTTTTTCCCCATTAAAAATGCGACCAAACATCGCCACATGCCCTTTTGCCGTAGACATCCTAGAAAACCCAAAATTATAATAATGCGCTTTTATACTCATTAGGAACGCGACCAACCATTTCGACCCGTCCCCCCTTTGTCCGAGTTCTGTCTCATAAAATGTGTCGCGTCGAGATTTTTGGTTGTGTTTCTTTCTAGTCCCCCTTTAATGTTTTCCAATTTGTCAGCAACTAATCAAGATCAAGGATGTTTCATTTATGTAATCTTATACTCTATTTATGCACCAAATATCAAGGAAAGGTAACCATAACATATAGTAGGACAGCAGATCAGGCATTTTGCAGGCATCCATACCGCGTGTTGACAGAATTTTCAGGAGTACCACGCGAAGTCTTTCCTTTTCACCGACCGCGGCTTAGTAAAAGAAACACTCAACTGCAGAGCATATGCATAACAAATAGCTTCAATTGGGAGTTTTGTAAGCTCAATAAAAAACTCCTCGGGAAGATATATATATATATATATATATATATATATATATATATATATATATATATATATATATATTGTTTTACTAATAAATGCGAAGCAAAACAAGCAGAAGCGAATGAGAGCAAAAGCCAGAAAAAGTCAGTTGAAAAAAAAAAAAAAGAAAGAAAGAAAAGATTTGCCGTCTTTACTAAGCAGAATGTGAAAATACGGGGTCCCACCATGCAATTGTTTATCTCTAAATTAAAAAGTTCGAAATATCCACTGAGAAAACGATAAATGAAAGTAATGTCAACAAAACCAACATTCACATTTTCCCGCTCTCTCCAGGGCTCGACTCGCAAGCTATTAAACATGGTACATCACGGATTATGTTTAATAACTTGCGATTCGAGCAAGCAGTCTATAAAACAATATTTCTTTTTTTTTATTGGCGTGTCTAGCACTCATGAAACTAACCCGCTGGGAACCAAGTTGAGCTGCTCCCATATTACAACTTTTGACGTAGAGTTTATAGTGTTACCAGTGGAGCCTCTCGGACCAAATATAAAAATTTCATAACTTCGATTGCCAAAACAAATTATTCTGAAAGACATTTGGGTTGCTAGAAAAGGTTCAGTTGTATTCGGACTTGAACTAAACAATGTATTTTTTTGGAGAAGAACCCACAAACGATCGTTGGCTTCTGAGAAAGAGTCTGGACAACAAAATATACATTTTTGAAGTTGAATTTATCGTTCAGGTAACGACTGATTTTATGATTAATTAAAATAATTTTTATGGATAGCGAAATTTTTGTAAGAATCTGGAACAACGGACTGCATGAGTTTTGTGCAAACTTTCCCAGCTTCAAAACGATATAACGGAATAGTTCGAAAGGGTCAGTCGCACACTGATTGATCGAGCCATTCCGTTGTCCAAATGCATTAGCCAGTCATTCCGTTCCCTAAATGCATTACACAGCAGAATAAAATAAATAAAAAAAAACATGATTTCCTTGAAAAAAAATATCAAATAAATCTGATTTATTCGGTTTAAGTTAAATTTGATTTACTGCAGATAAAAATACTAATTCTACCCCTAGTTGTACCTTTTAAAATGGCGGATTGATTGATCAATTCGTCATATATTACAGATAGCAATGCTGGAGAAAGAAGTACTCAAAATGTGAAGTACAGCCTAATTAACAACTCTTTGTTGCTGCAATTTATAGAACAAAAAGAGACTGATTTTTTTAGTTAGAGATACTTAATTTTTATTTCGAGTTCTGACTTAAATGCGATAGGACATTACTTTTCCAGTTTTTGTTTCTTTCTTTTGAGTTCTGAGCAAGGAGGATAGAAAGGTAGGAGAGGGCATGACGTCAGCCGCGTAGCCTCCACAAGCCATGCTCCTTGACGCCTCGCCTCTTTCTCATTTTCCTCTCCTTACTCTCCTCACTTACCACGCCAACGTGACCACATCACGTGACCGTAGCTAGCCTTCGTCTAGCTATGGGGTACTAGAATACACCACAGTCTAGCCTTCGATGTGATAAAACCTACCGGACGGAGCGTGCGCAAGCCTTCAAGGAGTCCTTCTAGAATCAACCGTCCATCTCACACGTGACATGTCACGCGCACCAATAGTTGAGAGATCTACGGTCACGTTGGCCACAACATCGTTTAAACTTTTTATGACTAGGCTTCACCAATATTGCAACGTAACCTCCTTGGTTCTGAGGTTGACGAACGAAATGCAAGGTAGAAATCAAGCTCAGCGCTCTGATTGGCTCAAAAGAGCACTTCTTTTTGCTCGGGTTCAGGCTTATATGAATCTTTTTTGGTTGATGATTCTTTGATCTAAATACAAATTAAATGCGCATAAAAAGTATCAAATGATTGACAAACGATAAACAAATATATTTGCGGGATTTAAATCATCTAAGTAAACCCAGCCTCATATAAATCATGATTTAAATCATATTGATTTTAATTCTCATCCCTATTAGCCAGTCAAATTGCATGGATGGAATTTTGTTAAAATTCTACAAAAACATCCCAAAGCCTTGCTTGCTAATTGTAAAGCCACGCAGTTTTTCTACCTAAGGCCAATTACCAAGTGTGATTCGGGCAAAGTCGTGCAATTTTTTTTTTTTATGTAATTCGTATTGAATTACATAAAAGAAAACAACGCAGGAAACGGCTCCAGCATGTAATTTGTCAAATTGTTGGGGACCACCAAACTTGTTGGGTTACAGGACAAAAATAATACATTCAAACATCCTTGTTCAAAAAAAAAAAAAAGTGTTCTGGAATGTTGTTAAAGTGAAACTAGGGCCATGGTCCAAATGGGTGTTAAAAAAGCGTTTGACAGAGATAACCATGAGGTCATTTGTTGATGCACGTTGGAGTTGGGAACGTTATTTATGGTTAAAGAGGAAGCCCACTAAATATTCCAGTACTCTTCCTTCCGTTCGGCAAGGGAGTTCGTTGTATCTGTTCTCTACCTGGAACCTTTTTGCTTGAGCATCGCTAAAAGTTAGATCGAGACTTGTGCCCGTTACTTGATAAATGTAATGGATTACAGTTACAAATTACCGAGCCTTAAATGTAATAGATTACCGTTACTAATTACTTTTGCTGAAAAGTAACGGATTACTTTACGATTGTATCGTTATAAATTACTTTCACGTTACTTTTCCCGTACGTATGGCGAAAACAATGCAAACGATTTTGATGTCTTAAAAAGAATGTTCCGCAGCGCTCCTTTGCATGTCTCATACGCCCGCATTATAGTAGTCCTCGTAAAAATAAAGCATTGTACTTGAGAACGAGTGTAGGTGCATTCTATTCGCCTGTAAGGTGAGAAGGCAGCGAAGGCTGCAACCACGTACACCCGCCATCTTGCTATCTTACGGCACCCGGAAATGATCCCTGGATTTCTGCAGACAAAGCTGGCGGTGCGCATGTGCAGTAGCAGCATCTACCTCCACTAAGACAAAAGAAAAAAAAAGAGGCCCTACCTAAAAATACAGTATAAACTGGATTATGGAACAGGAAAATTTAGCTGGATTTCTTGCTGGAAACCTGAAAGGCAGTTAGATTTTCCTGTTCCATAATCCAGTTTATACTGTTTCTTTTTTAGGTAGGGAACGATTCGGCGTTGTCTTCTTGATTTTTGTTTTTCGCATATTTGTGTATGCCTTGCGCGTTTTTCTAGTGGTTCTATAGTGACCGGTCATACAAGAAATCGAGTTTTCTTTTTGGTTATTCTTCTGATGAACTTGCTATCTTTGTGCTGCTCATATTGCTTCAGTTTCTGAATTATGACCATATTTAAAAAAAAAAAAAAGAACGAGTAATTAAAGTAATTTATTTCAAATATTTGTAACGAAATTACATTGCAAGTTACTGCCGTTATAAAGTAACGTGGCAATTACAAAATTACTTGAAAAAGTAACAGATTACTTCCCAAGTCTACATAGTCTAAACTCTGTTGAGATTAGAGTCCTACCCTACATGTGACGAAAGCCACAGTCTGCGTATTCATACATATTCACAGTGCAATTCATATTTCATAGCAGAAATGCGTCATTATCATATAATCAGTGCAATCGAAGTTTAAATTTTGCTCCATTCGCCGCTAAACTGAGAAACTGATATGTAGATTAAGCGCAGAGGGCGGGGTCAGGTGAAGAATGGTATTAATGGTAGGCGATGATTGATACGGTGAGCGCGTACGTCCTCGTCGCCGCGTCAGCTTTTTTGGGTGAACGAGTCGTTCTACGCATTACGTAACGGAATACAGTGGAATGAACGGTACCGTGTATGCTTGTTATTTACTTAACCATGACTATTATGATGCCTATTATTCCATGGACACAGCTTTTGATAAGGTGATATGAATTATGAAGTGAGTGGAACTTCTCTTTAATAGCAAGACGATAACAACAGCGGAAAGGACCATGGCAGTCTGATGCGTTGTCGTTGACTATGCACCGGAAATGAAAAGAAGGAAACAGCGAGAAGAGAGAGAGAGAGAGAGCGAGAGAGAGAGAGAGAGCGAAAGCGAAAAGCAAAACCATGAGCAAGGGAGGAGTAAACGACCTTGGCCAAAACCCGAGAGTAAGCAACGACACTAATAGTTTCATCTGACGTCATTCCATGAGTGTGAACGACGCGTCCTCTGGTGTGACTTTAGTGAGACATAAAAATACGAGAGAGCGGATGGTGGCATTTATCACAAACGTACAGCAAGCGCCCTTATTGAGAGAAAAATAATGTTTGGAATGACCCAAACGTTGAAGTGTAGCCCGCAAAATCGATTTATATGGGATACCTCACACTAGGGGGCGCGACGATTAGAAACGGTGACGGCGTGTGAAAGGAATGTATCCCCGCTTTAGTACAATCTCCGTCTGCCATCTGCCCCGACCGGGCTTATTTTAACTTGTATGTATTTCCTCCGTCGCGATAGGAGCAATAGGAGGCTGACAGCTCACGTCGCCGCGCCGAGTCACCCCCGAGTTCAATCGTTCAACCCAACAGGCAGCTGAGGCATTCTGCTGTTTGAACTCGGCAGTAAACAGACAAACCGTTGCTGCTCAAGCACGAGGTAAGTTAGCCTGCCGAGTGCGTGATGCACTCTATGGAGTGGCGTTGTGGATAGAAGAAATGTTATGGTCGCTAATGCTAATGCTACGAGTGCAGCTATAAGGGTGCTTTCAGTTATACAATATTTTTTTTTAAAGCTTAACAGATTTGTTTAAAAGAAAGTCGTGAAAGCTACACTTGTGCGGTTTGTGCAGGTGAGTTAGACGGCCAGGTAACGATCAGTCGACTAATTAATTAAAAATAATCGACTTTTTTATTAGTGAAAATTGACATATGGTTCAAATTAGAAACTTGCTGAGCGTCATCGAAAACCACTACATCAGTAATTCTTAGAAAAACTTTGAATGCATGAGAAGCGCTGTAGTGCGCTAAAGTTATCACTCAGCAGGTGCAAGGCTACCTGGGTCGATAACGCGCCCGCGCGATTTTTCCGCTTCTTTTCAAAGCCCCAGCCATGTATATATGCTCCACGAGTGGTGCCTGTAGCGCACTACTACGCTTCCCACGCGCTCAAGGTAATTCTAAAAAAAAAAAAAAAAAAAAAAAAAAAATAGAATATTGATTAAATGGTTTTTGATTACGCTGAGCAAGTTTCTAACTGGAACCATATGTCTATATTCACAAATTAAAAGTTAATCAACAATTTTTACTTAATTAGCCGTCTGATCGTTACTATGCGGAGGGCAAGTTCGTCTGCTCCTTGCGCAGGGGGTAGCGGTGACGTCAGAACGCCGAGCCCTGATTGGCTGATCGAGCCCCCCTATCTGAGCGTCGTCTGCTTCTTTGCAACGTCGTCTGCTCGCAACGTCGTCTGCGTCTGTCTTACCTTTCCTACGACTTTCGGAAGTGCAGAGGCCAGATTCACGAAGCGATCTTACGCCAAAAATGTGCGTAAGACAAAACTTAAGAACAAATTCGTATTCACGAAACAAAATGTTCGTAAGTTTTGCGCAGGTTACGGCGAAATCCTACGACAGCTCCGAAGCTGTCTTACGCACTTCTTACGATCAAGTCAGCATGGCCGACAGCGTCGCGGTCGCGACGACCCACGGACGTTTATTTTTCTACGTGAGCTTCTCACGCGTCCTGACTTCAAGCAGCAAAAAAAAAAGTAAAAATTACTTGAAACAGAGCACGACGAACAAGAACGCTGGATCCACAGACACCGGGGAAAAGCTCCGACGGCGACGATTCCACCGAACGCGACCAAACGATCTGGGCAGTTAGGCCTAGCAGGCACTCCGCGACTCGGCGACCGTCTGCCCACGACCGGCTGACGTGCTGAATGGAATATGCCCGCGCGACCCTTGTGAACCCTTCCCGTGTTATACTTTGATCGCTGACCTCAATTTTAGATTAAGAGGTCAATTTCTTCCTCTTGTTATCTCCTTGTTTCCCGAGGCAACGGTGACTCTCGCCGGTGAAAAAGCGGCGAATCTCCGACAGACGCAGGAAAGGTAAAGCAGCCATCGCTTTGACTAGCAGACGTAAAGCAGACGACGTTAACTGCGCCAACCCGCCGGCGCCGTTAAAGAGTGAGGAGTCTCGCCGCACACGAATGGAGGTAAAAAGTATTTGGGAGGGAACTTGCGGACACTAAGCAAACAAACCTCGGCGCCTCGGGACACCTCGCCAGTGAGTCCTTTGACTTCCCTCCTTGATGCGCGTCTGCTAGTTGTTAGACGAAAACAACGTACCGCTCGAGTTATTTCGTCTGCCCTCCCTTACAGGCCAAGTCGATTCGCTCCGAAAGTCGCAGGAAAGGTAAGACAGACGCAGACGATGTTGCGAGCAGACGACGTTGCAAAGGAGCAGACGACGCTCAATAGGGGGTCGCGATCAGCCAATCAGGACTCGGCGTTCTGACGTCACCGCTACTTCCTTTCTCATGCGCAGAAGACGAAAATGAGCCCACTTGCGAGGCGTATTAGTTCCCATACTACGTCTTCCTGGCCGTAAAATTAACTCCCTGCACAAACCGCATAAGTGTAGCTTTCACGGCTTTTTTTTTTTTTTTTTAAACAAATCTGTTAAACTTGTAAAAATAACAAGAAAACACCCTGTAATTTGAGACGGTGTTGCGTTTTACCTCATTTTTTGTTCCTAGTCTCAAGTATTTTTTTTCACTAGTTCGTTCATCAGCACGCCTCCGCAGCAGTAGCGTTCCATGCAGGGAATTTCAGCTTTTCCAGGGAATGCTCGGTCTCGATTTCAATGAAAAGGGAAATGGGAATTTTAACATGACTGTAGGGAATATTAAGGATGAACAAGGGAATCCAGGAAAAGCTTCAGAGAAAACTAAAAATATACGAAAAATACCTTGTCCTCCAAAAGTTTCAAGAAGAGGAAGTGGGAAAGTCGCTGTGTAGGAACAGTGGGTGTCTGAACGGTGCAGCAAAACGGCCGCGTCTAAGGACTATATCATTTAGGTGATAAAAATACAACGTGACCAGTAACATTTTTAGAGCCCTGCGCGGATAACAGTTTGAGTATCCGATCCGCATACGCATCCGCATACTTTGCATCCGTATCCGAACCGCATCCGCAAAATGTGGAACCATGCCGATGTTCTTGCTAACTACCAGAGGTTACGAACGATTACATTTGACTAGCAAAATCAGCGGAAATCACGCCGACCGCGTTCTTCCCCGCCGCACGCGGAATCGGAAACTTTCCTGAAGTCTGAACGCCTAAAAAAGAAGGTAAAAAAAAAAAAAAAAAGTTTGGGAAGAGAGTAGGAGAAGCAGTGGGTAGGAAGACAAAATCCTTTCTATGGTATTACCGAGCGTATGCGGCCGCCTCGAGTCTCGCGGTGTTTCGTGTCAGCCAGCGTGCAGACGCGCCGCTAAGTCAAAGTCCAAGGCTTGATCGGATCGACTAACGTGTTTTTCTAAAAAGATCGCGGCCTGCAGGCGCCCAAATATATATATAAAAACTTTTTTTTTTTTTTTGTTTGGGGCGCCTACGGAGATTGTGCGCGGCAGCCGCTTACATTTCTGGCGCCTTGCGTCGTAACCAGACGAATATGAACCACCAAACTTTCTTGGCTAGAACTCTAAGCATACAAAAAAAGATGCTGGCGCCGCTGATTCCGAAACTTTGCAAACTGTACAGGGTCGCGCTTGCTGTCGAAGCGCTTCTTTTGTTTTTGGTATCATGACCACACCACTCTTTGCGGAGAGGGGAAGGTTTCTTCTACTTTCTTGTGACTTGTTCGTTTGAGCTTTTCTTTGCCCGAGAAGGTTTTCCGCTCTTTCCCTGCCAAAGAACTAGCTTCCTCGGGACGATTGACGCCCTGCATTCTTTACTTTTACTTTTTCGATAGATAGCATCTTTAACGAGATGAAATGCACTAACTGAAGCGATCTTCAGTAAGAACCAGATCTTTCTTAGGATCCCTATTGTTTCTTCGAAACGCGTTTTATGGAAATACGTTTCGCGGACAACTTTTCACGGACATACATTTCATGAACACACACGGTTCGTCGACGCTTAAAGGGGTAGTGAAACGAAATTTTAGCGCCGATCTTGTTGCATAAATATGGGCTAGGGACAGGCACCACCTCGGAAATATAAATATTACGCTGTAAAACACAGGAGAACTAATTTTAAACATAATTAAACGATTTCAAATTCTCATCTGGTGGATGGGGGGGAAGTTCTCGTGACATCACTTGTGCCAAATAGCAGCGCCGTTCTGCGGCAATACGGCGTGCCGGCAGAATTCGCCTATCCTGAACGCGTTTGCAAAGCCTTGGCGGAGAAAACCAAAGCGTAGTTGGCCACAGTGAGCTCGTTCTCGTTGCGGCTCCTTGCACGACACGGCCCGAGCATGCTTCTGGCACGGCCGGTATTAGTTGCTGCGAGTCGCGAGCTGCAAGCCGACGTTAAAAAGGATATGTTTGAACTACGAGGGTGTCAGCAAGAGCCACGCAAATGCCAAATACCTGTTCACACTCGGAGCGGACACGCGCGTTTGATCGAAGTGCTGGATTCGCTCTGTTAGACCGCGCTTCGGTAAGCGCTTCTGGACCGATCTTTTACGATTGCAACTCGATACTGACATGACACTCGGCAAAGAAAGGTTAGACCGACATCGCGTAGCTCGACACTGACGTAGCGTCGAGTCAGAATAAAAATGGCATGCTAATAACAGAGTGTACATACCGAGTTGCCAAGGTAATCCGTATGGCGTTTATTTGAGCTCTATATCACGCAAAACAAGGAGATAGAATCAATGAGAGTCCCTTTTCGACGACAGCGTTCGTCACCGCTGTCTCGGAAAACAAGGAGATCGAGATGACAAGGGGAAAATATTGACCTCCGAAATTTAGTTCAGGGATCAAACTACTCATCCGGTAAGGGTCCACAAGGGTCGCGCGGGCATATTCCATTCAGCAGGCCAGCCGGTCATGGACAGACGGTCTTGGCCAAGGACCGCCGGAGCAACGGTGCGCCGAGTCGATGTTGCTGCTAGGCCTACTATATTCTGCCGAGCTCGCTCGGTCGGCAGAATCGTGGCTGTTGTAGCTCTTCTCGTGTGTTTGTGGATCCTGCGTTCTTGATTGTCGTGGTCTGTTTTAAGTACTCCTTCCTTTTTTCTTGCTGGTTGAAGTCGGGACGCACGAGAAGAGCACGAAGAAAAATAAATGTCCGTTGGTGGCCGATACCAAGTAACTGAGCGACGCTGTCGGCCTTGTTGATTTGATCGTAAAAAGTGCGTAAGACAGCTTCGGAGCTGTCGTAGGATTCTGTCGTAACCTGCGCAAAGGTTACGACAATTTCGTTTCGAGAGCACGGGTTTTCTCTCAAATTTGTCGTACGCACTTTTTTCGTCGTGAATTCGCTTTGAGAATCCGGCCTCAGAGCTGGTTTAGTCAGTGCTGCCGTGGTTGCCGACTTGCCGTGGTCCCGTGGTGCAGCTGGTGCAGCGTGCGTGCAGCCCTTGCACATCTCAAACGGCCACGTTGTCACAGGTCGTAAACCGTCGACGCGCCACCA